TTTACAGTATATGAATTAATGGAGAGATGGGGTTAAAGTCATAGACACAGCAACACATCAACATATTTAAACCAAAAAGATGGTAAGGTCTTCAATGATACACAGGTGTTCATACCTTATGTTATGATCCTTATTGACCACAAAATCAAGAGATTGTGAAAGAATTCCACAAAGTCCATGATGATCCAACACAGATCTATCTACAACAATTTTCTTTATGGACAAAAAGATTTTGGATCTTTATCTGTCATATTTTTTACTCACATATAGTCTTAGAAGGGAAATTCTATCTGTGTGGATTTTTAATACATTTATGATATTTTAATATGAAAATATCAAGGACTATACATAAGATAGAAAAAATTTAGACAAAGCAAAATGTAAGATAACATACTATTTTATATGGATATACATCTATATTTGATATCTTTAACAGAATGTGAAAAAAAAATAACAACTGTAAAATTATAATATATGTATCTGTGATGGATAATATAGGAAGATGTGGTATGAGTGCCAATGAGACAACTCTCCATCCAAGTAACAATTTATAAAAGTAAACCATTATAGGTCAAGGTACGGCCTTCAACACGGAGCATTGGCTCACACCGAACAGCAAGCTATAAAGGGCCCCAAAAATTACTAGTGTAAAACCATTCAAACGGAAAAACCAACGGTCTAAACTATATAAAAACAAGAAACGAGAAACACGTATGAACTACATAAACAGACGACAACTACTGCACATCAGATTCCTGACTTAGGACAGGTGCAAGCATTTGCAGCGGGATTAAACGTTTTAATGGTACCAAACCTTCTCCCTTTTCTAAAACAATAGTATAACATCACAACATAGAAAGACACACTATAAAATATCAATTGGAAGGCTTAACTCAATCAAAAAACGTAAATTAACACACAATGAACGAATAAATTTGATCTGTGATACCTGAATGCAAATACATAGTTAATAAAAATTATAAGGGATAAACAATTAAGGTCAAAAGTAAATAAACAGGTTTAAACAAAGTTAAAGTATGATACCACTGTGAAATGTTAAACAATATTGTATATATATATATTCTTTTGATGTTTTAGGGTCGTTAGATTCAGTTCTGTCCATCATCTGACAATACATTTTCCAAGCAACTTTGGTGCAGATAATACAAAAGTATACTATATAGGTTTGAAAGGAGATTTTACAGAGGTATTTCTTCTTTGATATTAACAATTAAAAATGATCAAAACTTTTATACCAGTTAATTAAAAGGAATATTAACCAACACATTTCTTATTGATACTTTTTATACCAAAACATTGAATGAGATTTAACAGAGTTATTACTTGTTGAAATTTTGAAGTGAAAATGATAAATAGTTTTTTTACAACCTCAAATTTTTAAAATCATATATTTTATAAAATTCTATCATCATGGTAACATCTGCTAGTACATAATTTCCTTAAGGTACACTTCATCTGATTGTTGAAACATGGATACAGTCTTATTTATGACAAAATGATTGATTGAGGTCTGTCTCCTGTTATTAGAGAACTTGGTTCTAAAATTCAAATAACTGTGCATATTTTCATTTCTCCTTTGACTAATACCAGTAATTGAATAATTGGATACTAGCAGTTGGTGCTAATTTATACAAAATACAGACAAAAGTTAAAATGATTTTGGTAATGTACCCTCAAGCTTCAGAATAAAAGATGCCGAAATATACATTGGCGTTTAGCTGAATTCTTTATAGACATTCGTTCATTGTTGAAGACCCTACATCAACTGTCAAGAATAAAAGCCCGGTTTATTGATAATTTTCTATTCTATGTATTGTGTGCGATTTTGTCCCATGTACATTTACTCCATATCCTTTCATTTTCTATGCAATTGCTGAAAAAGTAAGAACATAAATAGAATATTTGAAGTGTATTAGGAGAAAAATGTGTAATTGTGTAAAATATTGGTCTGTTTTTGGTATTTCAGACCAAAATAACACTATTCAAAGATTAAGATAAGGTTTTAGTAAAAAAGTTTATAAAAATATGTAAGTGACAGTTATGCTAATCAAATTATTTATACTGTTTAACCATACTGTACATATTTTATTAAGATCTGGAATCGAACATTCAATTTATGTTATTACGTCTTAACTTTTCAGATAATCAGTTTGATGAATATTTATATGTCGTTCAAAAAGACCCTATCACAAAGAAATGAACTGATCAACCTTTATGTCAAGTGAAGTAACACATGTTATTTATTTATTTAAGGCACACAGACATGAAGTGACAATTTGTACATATGAAGCCAGAGCAATGCCACAGGACCACAAGGCTAATGCATTTGATGGTGTTAATCATCAAATCTCATAACAAACTATGGAGACTTATTTTTATTATTATTTTATAAATAATTATTGCTGCAATATGTATTTTGAATAAATATTCTTTTGACATTTATTTTATACTATCTCAAAAACTGTGTATGGAAAACAATTTTGAAACAAATGAGAGAAATCATCGATAAGAAGATAAGTTATTATATTTGTGTACTATTTCACCTTATCAGTTGACCTGAATGTTCAAAATGAAGGAAGATATTGATTTTTATCATTTACATGTATTAATGATGGGGGGATTGTAACAATGCAATCATCTATATATTTTCTATGGGTAAACATCCCCCTGTCGACATCATAGAGACCAAACAGAAAGTTAGTGTTCCTTTAAATTGGTACATTTAATAACCCCCAGCAGTTATTTAACCAGATTTATGTTCCAATCCCCACCTCCATCAACTTGTCCTGCTCTGCAGATTTAATCAGCAGTTCAAAAAGAACAATGTCATTTTAAGAGGGATTTGCTGGATTTTTCCTGCTGGCACTTATGACACAGGTCTGAGATATCCCATAACAATCCAGACTTGCAGTAAGATAACTTCTGTATGTGTTAACAATTAATTTACAGCTATGGAACTTCTACATAGGAGGCATGATGTTATAATAAAGGTAATCTAAAAATACCAAATTTGCCTCCATTCCAGAATTTTCTTTATAAATCTCATATAGTCATTGAAACTTACGGAACAAATAAGGTAAAAGAAATGAAATAAAGGCTACAAAAGATGATTTAATCTTGTCATATTTAATTGCATTATCAAAATCCTGAATCTCATTAGACATGGTTCCTTTGTATAAAGTTGCTAATGTCAACCCTGTTTCTTTCACATTCTATCTTATATCAATATGTTCAAGATATTTTAAACGTGTGGATTTTCAAATATTTTTCAACTACAAAATGGTCATTTCTCAAAATGGCTAATTAAGAGCATCAAGATGAGGCTTATTGACTAATACAAACAAGTGGTACTCATCGATACAAAATTCTCCAAAATGGATAAACTATAGACTGTTCAAGAATATGTAAGACTTTGAGAGTTATCTAAACATTCTAGATGACAAAAATATTTTTATTTTATATAAATTTAGGGCAGGTAACCATGCATTACCTATAGAAAAAGTAAATTTTCACATAGTCCAAATATAATGTCAATATTCTTACTGTTTAATACTAAATAACAATCAGTTTTAAGAAAACTATGTTCATTTATTAAGTGTATTAATAAAAAGGTTAGTCCCTCCATGTAAATGTATAACACCAGACTGTCATATTTAGTTGAAACGTTTATTATACATGTCATAAAGTTGTACTTCATTTTACATTATCGTACTGCATCTGTTTACCCTAAATTATTGTATTTGTATTTATATTGTACTTTCTCTGTAAACTTGTATATAGTTTTTAGAGAATAAAGTATCTATCTAAACTTAGGGCAATTAAGAACTTACCATATATTTGATAGTTTGATTTGCCCTAGCCCAAAATAAGTCCTAAAAAGGCTTTCAGATAACAGTGCTTGCCTGTTGTTAAAGGCTTTATTTTGCCATCTGTAAAGTAATTTTGTTGGGTTGTTGTCATATTGATATATACTCCAAATTTTCCCTTTCTTCATATTTGATATTTTGACATCAACCCAAAGATAAATGCGAATACCTAGATTACAGGATTCTAATCCCCCAAAAAAATACAGAAAAAATCAATAGAAATACTGTAGAAATTTTAATCAAAGTTCCAAATTAAATATTTCTTTCAAAATATCAAATATGAGTCAAAGTACATTACTATAGTATTATTATGATAACCATAAGCAACAATTTACATCTGTGTCAACCGAGGGTAATATATAAATACATTTCTGGAATATAGGTACCTTAATTCCAAACTTGAATAGGACTAAAATGATACATTCTGTTCATATACATGTATATACTTTATACTGCAGTTTTTTCATCAGATACTATTTCTTGAGTTAGTTTGAATACTGAGAAATTGTATAAGAGCCATAATGTTACCTCTATGATTGTGTTTGCTATTTGTAATAGTTACTCTGTATTTGGTAGAACATGGATGCATAGCATTTTATCTTTGACATAAAAATCTCTCAAGACCTCAAAGAGTAGTGGTATAGCATTGGAGAATTTCATCTAATCAGACTGACTTGTTGGTCTCTAAGAAGTGTGCTTGCCTCAAGTGCAGGAGAACCTGGGTTTCACTTCCCCCGACGGTTCAACCCAACGACATGAAAATTAATATTTTCTACTTCTCTGCTAGGCATGCAGCATTTAGGAGTAAGAGCAAAGACTGGTCAGCCTAGAGAGTTAAAAGAATGTGTCTGTGTAGGGTTACATGTCTTTATTGCAGACTGTTTCATTGTAAACTAGCATGTGAAAAATCCAGCTCAGCCTTTCTGAATTCTAGTACAAACCAGGGTTCATTTTCCTATCACATTAACATGTTCTCGTTCTGAATATCTATTTAATTTGCTACTGGATGTTTAAAAGCCATCCATCATCATCAAAATAGACCAAATCTAGGAAGATCTTTAAAGAGCAGTTAAATAACCTTAAGAGTATTTTGTGTATAAACGAGACAACATCTTGGAAGATCTAAATTTATTCTGAAAACTAAGTTGTAAATTAATGTCCTTTTAAACATATTGCATTAGGTAAACAAGACTAACTTATACATATTAATATAAAGAAAAAGGTTAATATGAAATATTTGAATATAAAGTTTTCTTCTATATATAAAAAAATAATGCATAAACTGGTAAAATATAATGGCAGTATTTACTTAACACACGTTAAAATAAAATACCTGGTTTAATTGGAGACAACTTATAAAAAATAATAAAAAAAAAATGTATCTTTATTACACAGCAATTAGAAGTTACAAACTTTGCCATTTATGTCACCAACATGTTTTTTTTTATCCAAATTGAGCAAGTGGTTTAGTAACTTCTCCCCAGAAAGACTGACATATGAGTTTCAAATAATTTTCTTAAATATTTTATCTAAAGATTTTTATTTCTGAATATATCAATTTTAATCAAATTTTATATTTAAAAATAGTTGTTTCCATCATTAAAAAAATGAACAAAAATTGTTTTTTTTATTCTTCAAAGTAAAATTCAAATACAGCTTACATTAACAATAATGTTTGGAGTAAATGTGTATGTGAATTGTAGTAAATACAATTATCGTTTCATTTAAAAACTTTGGAAGTACAAAAAAGTAGTGATGTACATGAACACTTTGTTTGAGGTAGTTTTCTACAACATTATTTGTGTTGCACAATGCTTTATTTCTCCTTAAACAATACATATTACGTGTATATAATTCAATAATCTTTTCTTATGAATAACTTCGAAGTCCTAAAATATTTTTTGACATATTTATCTAATAACCTCACTGTAGTTGCATGAATGTGTATATGTATATGTTGACTGAGACATTCACTGAATAACTTCCATGAAACTAGTTTAACCAATGTAACCTTGTCAAGGGCAATAACTCTAAAACCCTAAACCGGATTACCAAAAATCAAAATCTTTTCTTTATCAAGATAAGAAACTGAAAATGAATTAGATGATCATATCAGCCTTCTATATCTTCAAGGATAGTCATTTTCTTAATAAAAATTCATCAGTTTATACAGATACTGTAAAAAATATTCTTCATAAAAGAAGTTAAATACATTTGTTCGACATTGAGACTGAAATATTTCATTTAAAGGCACAATTAAAAAACCTCAAACCAGCAGAAAGTGATAACAACATTCATTTAGTTGAACTATGTAACAATGTATATAAAGTACAAAAAATTCATACATATGAAGAATATATTAACTTTTATTAGAAAAAAAAATGTAAAATTTGTTTGAAATTACAACGTAAAAAGGTACAAAACAGGTGAACTTGAACAACAATTTTATTATTATTATCACATTGTGACTTTGTATATATTAAATGAACATTTCATTAAAGTCCAAGTCTATTTTGAAATCTTCTAGGGAAAACTTTGACCTATTACTGCTATTAGATAATTTCACATACTTATCCTATTGCAAGAAAAGTCAAGAAATTGGAGGTTGGTTGTTTTTTGGTATTGTTGTGCAGTCATGAAACTGACCATTGTTGTCAGAATTGCAGCATTGTATCTGACAAAAATAAAGTTCAAAAGAAAAATATCAAAGTAAAATCCAAAATTTCTGCTTTAATCAGCATTCAGGAAAAGAAAAAGATAAAGCTGTTAAAATCTATAAATAATCAAATATAGCAGAAATATTCTGCATATTATGCAATTATTGTTAGGTTAAATTAAGTTAACACCCATTATTGAAAATGTCATGGAAGTTGCGTAGGATGATCAGTATAATTGGTAAATCATTGAATTAAGCACTTTAACATAGGAAAACTTAAAATATTACTTAAAATAGAAAAGACAATGATATCAGATAATTTTAATTTCCTAACCAAGAGGATCAGGCCAACCTTCTTGGATAAGTACAGTAAAGAAAAAAAATACTACAAAACATATGAACACTTCATAAATTAACAATTGTGGTATACTTAAATAATCTCAAATAATAACAAGAAGCCCTGGGGACCCTGTTTCGCTCACCTGTCTTCCATGCATAATACTGACAATGAATTTCAATATCTGGCAGGGGGCATCCAATACCATTCCAAAGGGGACAATCATATCATATAGTGTTGTCAAATTGAACAGTTTTCACTAACCGGTTACTCAGATAATGTTTTAACTGATTAATCGGTTAACCATAATGAAAGTTGACATTCTAACTCGTTCAAAGACTATGTATGCAGTTCTTGATTACGAATGTATGGTTATTAAAGATGATGTATTGATGTTCATTATCACATCCTAACAAAATCGTATGTATTGTTTGATCTGCATGCTACTGGTACAACCAGTATTCATTACAATTGCATTTCACATTGTAAATAAACAAATGACAGATGCTAAGTGATGTCAATAGCTAACACTGGCTGTTCATGCCAGCTAAGCTAAAAAATAAAGTTAACTGTGAAAGGCAAGCTATATGATTTCAAGGCAAGAAGTATTACTGTTCTAAAAAAATAAATCATTCATCAGAAGAATTATGTGCACTGTGTGAAAAAAAAAATTGTTGAACTGACATCCACAACAGTCAATTTCAAATTATATTTGGACGGAAATATAATTATAAATGAAGTTTTAAAGATCTTACTATTGCTATAAAATAGATGCTTCTAATATTTAATATCTAATTAAAACAGTACTAGTACATTCTTGCTGCAGCAATATATGCTGTGCCTATATAGTTCTTAGCAAAAGGTTTGACATCTATCTCTACTTCATATTCCCCTAACTGAACATCGGTTTTACACAGTCTTCCAAGTAAGAAACAAATGGTGTAGGCTGCTATTTCAAATTCAGGACTGGTTCCCAGAAAACAGCTACTAATAGGTTTTCCTTTTTCTTCCCTCCAGTCGAACTGTAGAGCAATCAGTCTGAAGTGTTCATCATCTTGTACCTAAATAAATAACATAATAACATATAATTGTTGTAGTGTCATGGTTCTAATGATGATAACTTTGAATAAAGGCATTGCAGATTATACATCAATGAGAAAGCAGGCCAAACGAACAGCTGAATTAAGAGCACAAGATACATCAATTTTACCTTGCAACAGGTTAAATATGGATTTCAAAAAGAATTGTTTTAAGGGTTCTTCAATGTGGAAAAATCATGGCACTCGTCCTACACAAGGCATTGGATTTAAAGCCCCAATGCAGACAAAATGGACACCCCTCTTTAAGCATGGGTTTTACTGCCAGATTGGAGAAATCCTGGGATGGCCACACTTCTTTAGTTTAGTCAACCCTTGCTGTCTGTAAATAAAGTAGACTGAAGAAAGTCAGTTATGGTAAAAGAAAGTGTGTGTTTCCTATATAATAAAAACAAGTAATCTATAAAGTGTTTCATGATCTGTTATAAAACACACAGAGTGACATTATAAAAAACAATAAATTTTAAGAAAAACTTTGTGTGAAGGGTAGATGTTGCTGAATAACTAAATATTGCAGTCAACTGTTGCATTTGAAACTGGACTTCCAAAGGGTTTACATCAAACATTTATATCATAGCTTACAGTTGAATGTCTGAAGTAACCATGATAGTCAATATTTCCAGCTTTCTCTTGGAGGTAAAACTGAATCCAATTATGAAGTCCGATAAATTGATCATCTCTACCTTCTCCAACAAACACATGTTCAAAACTGCTTGAATCTTGGTCTCTGTTAAATAAATTATTAGTTATATAAATAATGTGATCAAGTTTTTAGTCACTGGTTTAAAAATCTGCCTTTATCTTCTAAATATAATGTATGAGTCTTCCCTAAGAAAATGTGTGTTTTGACTGCCATCTCCAAATAATATAAACAAATATTGTGTGTTTTGTTACTATATATTCATTATTAATCATTGGATACAAATTGTCTTGGATTTCATGGGTAAAGGTTAACCACAATTTTAAATGTTCAATGAGGTACAAATATTCTATAGGCTTGTATTGCAGAAGTCAAATGACCACAAAAATTCAATTTTTCCTCTGTCCAAGAAAATTGATACCCACGAAAGTAAATGAATCAACAGTATTGGAAACCCAAAATTCATTCAGATCAAAAATTAAAATAGTAGGTGCACAACTTCAACGTATTGGAATAAGGTTTTGGATTTTTCAATTTATGGATTACATATATTTTGGCTGGGAGCATCACGGAAGAGTCATAAATTGTTAAAATGACTATCTGGTGCAGTCAAATTGGACCTCTTAATTTCATTACAACCAGTATGTACTGTCACTGGTTTGATACCTCTGCTGTTGGACTGTTAGTCCCTGAGGGTATTAACAAGCCGAGTAGCCAGTATTTTGGTAATGGCATGAAATACGGATATTGTTTTATTGAAATTTGCTGTTAAAAAATTTGAAAATCATTTAAATACTAAATTAAGAATGCATCTCCCTCATGCATAGCCCAGAAGGTGTTTCCTGGTTGGCTACTTTGGTCCTTTTTAGATTTATCAGCTCTTCAATATCTATTTGTATTTTGAGTTGATGAAAATGTCAAAATGTGCATCTGGTGCAGTAAAATTGATACCATTAAAGTTATTATTTCAAGTATCTATGCACTATAACAGGTTTAGTACAAGTAAAAAAATAATACATATTGTAATTAATTCAATCACATAGAATATCAATTTTACCTGTCTCCCCTTGTTCTTCGTACTAAACTGAACCAAATTTTATAAAGTTGCCATTTAAACTGGCCAACATGTTCTGGTGATTTTCCTTTAGATACAAGGTATTTATGTGCCTCTTGCATCACATCAGTTTCCATTATGGCATCCACAAAAGCAACATTTTCCTTCTTTTCTTCTGGAGTGACAACCTCTGCTTCACCACACTCAAGTTCATAGTTATCCAGTAAATCTTTAAATGCTGTGAAACAAGGTATAATTCATTATGTCATATCTCATGTTACATAGGGCTATTCCACTTCTATAAAGCACACCATAAGGCAATCTGACATCATCTCTATGTGTCTTGCCTTTATTTATAACTTAAGATAAGTCTACAACAAGTTATCTATTGATGGTTTAAAAAAAAATTGTTTGCCTGCCTATGGTATAAATTACATGTATGAATAATGGAATAACCCTGACTTATTTTGATGGTTCTTTAACCATTTATGTATACTGCCTTTTCCCCCTGCAATTACATAAGAAGAATAACAAGCATTCTGAGAGTATTGTATGACAATACATACTACATAGTCCCCTACCAGTTTAAAATTCTTTGTATTAAAACAAAATGCTAACTTGATCTATAAGTTGTCATGGTGTAAACAATATAACAAATATCAAGTCAATATCTTCAAGCATGACTAAAAAGGGTTTAAAAATGATTATTTAAGTGAATCTTCTAAGTCCAAGGACCATAACTCTACACAAAATCATCAGGCCATAACAAAATTTGAACTTGATCTGTAATTTGTCATAATAAAACTATATACCAATTATCAAATCAATATCTTCAAGCATGATGGAAAAAAGTGTGGAAAAACGATTATTTGAGTGAATTTTCTATGTCCAAGGACCATAATTCTGCACAAAATCATCATTCCGGAACAAAATTCAAACTTGATTGGTAACTTGTCATGATAAAGCAATACACCAAATATCAAATCAATATCTTCAAGCACGAAGAAAAAAGTGTGGAAAACTGATTTGACAGACAGACAGACAGAGTGCAAGCCTAAAGTCCCCTTCGATGAAGTCGGTAGGGGACTAATAACCGCAGCAAAGCTGAACACATTTAGCAAATCTGTGATCACATGCATATATAAACAATATACATATATTGTTGGAAAATTGTGAGGACCATCTTCAGAAACTGCAAGAAAAGCACAGCTCATCAAGATCTTGTCATTTATATTCAAATTTCAAAATATGAGCCAAGGTCCTATAGTACTCTTGCCCCAAAAATAACTATTGGTACAAGATGTATAATATGAATTCTTTAATGTGGGTTAAGGATAATGTACCCTTTTGTTGTTTCAATGCTTAACATATGGAAATTTTATAAACAAGAATGTGTCCATAGTACACGGATGCCCCACTCGCACTATCATTTTCTATGTTCAGTGGACCGTGAAATTGTGGTCAAAACTCTAATTTGGCATTAAAATTAGAAAGATCATATCATAGGGAACATGTGTACTAAGACAGACGAACGGACGGACGAACGAACGACCGCACAGACCGAAAAACATAATACCGAAAAACATAATGCCCCTTCCTATCGTAGGTGGGGCATAAAAAATCCACAGCCTTTCCAATGGTACTCCTTTATTTGACAATTCAGTGCTTTATAGATAAAGGATTATTACATGCAGTGCTAGCAATGATATCCCTCAAACAAGTATATAAATAAAGACATTGGTTAAAACAAGTCTAAAAAGGGACTTATTCCCATACAACTTCTAGGACTCCCTCGACTTTAGTGGCTCAACATGAGGTTTTTTTGGACTGTAACGGTTGTTTAGGACTTTTTTAGACATTAAACGCAAGCACATCATGGAAAAACAAGTGATTTATCTATGTTTACAATTTTAAAACAAAAATCTCTGTAATAAAGTCTGTGGGTTTTTTGCAAAAATCTTGGCTTTATTTGCCACCAAATCCCCATTTTATACTAAATGCAATGCAATATTTAACAGTATTGCTTTGAACAACGTTTCCCTTTGGTATATGTACAAAATGGTATGTGACTTTTTTCTGAAGTTTTACTGTTTTGACCTACAGAAGGGGTCATATCATTGTTGAAGGCTGTACTGTTGCCTATATTGCTTACATCCACTTCATTTGAACTTGGGTGGATAGTTGTCTCATTGGCAATCATACCACATCTCATTATTTTTATATAAACCTTAAATATCTTTTTGGGTAAAGCCTTGGCTCATCTCTTATATTGCCAAAATCTATGTGTAAAGGTCAAATATACAATATATGTAGAATTTCTGTTGCCAGATAAAGGGTCTTATCATACCTCTTCCTTTGAATGAAACTTATCCATTTTTTTAAGTATTTGAAATTTTCATGGATTCTATATGATTGTTCATTCTTAGAAATTTTACCATCTTTATGTCATAAAAGAATTACCTTTAAAGTTTAAAACCATCCATGTTTGATAGTATGTCCATAATAAAATTAAAGTCTTTACATGGCATTTTGATTTAGAAATGGTGGTAATTTTGGTTGCATTTCAAGGTAACTGGATATAACTTTATTAAGGACTGTTTAAGTAATATGTTAAGTGTATATACAATATGAGTTTTGTTTACATATAACTGTTGTTTAAAGAATAAAAAACGATCAAATAGTTTAGTTCTATAAGAAATATAAAACTTTTTATTACCTTTTTTGTTAAAATGCATATTTGTGAATATGAAATATGATTGGTGGAAAACTTGTCTTATCACAATCTGAAAAATTATTAGCAAACAGTTAGAACATGTCCAACCTGTCTAACTGAATTTAGCGTTTAATTTGTTCTTGTTCTGAATATGTGTGAAACATTTGCCACTGGACATATTAAAGGGTTAACAGTATATACAATGTATTATCAACCTACTTGTTTTTCTGTTTGTTAGTGTTATGGGTTTTAAAATGATAATATTCATCTGAACTGGTCAGATTTTATATTGTGTTTTTTACTTGTACGACATATGGTCTAAGATATATGCAAAGTGCATTTCTTTGGATTAGTCGGTGTTGGTGTGTTTTATTGAACTGTTCAATATTTTTGATGATTCCCGGATTGAGTGAGTGAGTGAGTGTTATATTATTTCTGTATTCTTTAACATAACCTTATTTTAAATTTACTTACTTTTATATGTTTTCCTTCCAAAAACCTTTTCATCATTCACCCATTCAAACAAGTTGTAGCGTGCCCTGTCTCTCTCTAAATGCCTACCACTCTTGACATACCCTACAAAAAAAGCAGTACATGTATATGGTAGGTTAAATTGTGTTCAACTTATTATAAATGTAATATTAGATACTAGTAATTATGATCCAGTGCCATTACTACTACTGAAAACTGTTTACAGTGAAGCAACAATAAACTTTCGACTACCAGATGTTTATGTGCCTTCAAAATCATGAACCTTGACAGTTGTCATCATTGTTGCTTTTTGTCTTCTGTCCATTTATGAAGTTGATACTAATTTCTGTTACTTGCAGTCAAAAGTAAACTTGAGTTAATTTATCATCAATGGGATATTTTATCTAAGGCATTATATTACTAATCTGAGAACAATGTTTGGACAAGTTTATCTGCAATTATATTTACATTTAGTAATTGCTTGATAGGCATATGAAATATTTGAAATATAACAATTGAGTTTGAAGAAACATCATACTGGTCAAGGACCAGTTACCATTTACCATCACCTGATATTTTATTTAATAATGGAAATGTTCCATAAAACAATAGACTGCTGATATCTTCAGACAAATAATTTTACTTCGTTTGTAAAAACTCTGTTTTGTTTGATCCAATTAAGATAGGGAAATGTTGAATTTTCTATAAATAAAACGGGTCGCATGAAGATACATGTGTGGGGACATGACGTCGTTGCTTTATATTTATAATTTTAAATTAAAGTCTATAGTCACTTCAATACAAGTAAGTAGTTGATATCAAGTGACATATATAAAGTTCACATTAAGGGCAGAAAGGAGACCTTCAAAATTAATGGTCCAATTAACAAAAGTTCTTCATTAAATGTAAATTCAATCATTTAATGACAAGTTCAAAAGTGATAGTAACTGGTCATTAAGTACTTTTAAAATTTTCCGCTAAAATTAGTATACCAGTAATGTGTTTTTTTTCGTTGTTAAAAAGAGAAATTAAAGTCTAAGTCTATGGGGCTCAACCTAACTTTTGGTAACCCTTTTTTGTTCAAAGAATATTTCCCTACAGACTTCTTGTTGACAATTATTTAAGAAAACTGTGAATTTCTGACAGTAACTGGTACTGGACCAGTATTGTTGCATTTGTACAAGATGCAAAGGTTGGATTTTTTTTACAATATGTAAGCAAAGCAACTCTGACAATATTTTATTGTGATCTGCCAAAAATGTTTTTTTTTGTGTTACACCATCAAATATTGTCATATATTTTTCATAGTGTAACAAAAGGTAAGCAAATTACATTAAAAAACAAATGCACAAACAGTCATTAAATTTTAAATCTACTAAGAAGCACTGTCTGTAGATACTATATTTATTTACACATACAGTAAATCCTAAATGTTTGTGCTGTAATGATGAGTTTGAAATTTTACCTACATCCCCTGGTATTCATACATACCCTGCAAATCAACTTGAAAATCATCTCCAGGGTAACATTTATTTGTATCTAGTTCCCATAATTTGGTTAAAATCTCAGATAATTCTGGATCTGGATCAAACCTGCAATATGACATACAACAACACTGTAGTAAAAGATATAAATTCAGAACACTGCACAGAATAACAATGTGTCTTCTCACAAACCCACTTACAGATAGTTTAAAGGGGCACTAGCTACGAGATACATAAAAAATTAAAATTAGGATTTTTTTGGTTCAATCATTTATGAAAGTGAAATAGTGAAATAATAACTCGCTTTTAACTACCAGTATGGTTTAATTTTGTCAAAATAAGCTAAGAAACATTGATGATGAATTATTCACTTGCAAGTGAATAATTCAACCTCATTGAATCCTTTTCATGTGAACTTCAATTTAACCCCTTAGCTAGAGATGGATTACACATGATTTATGCGTGTTGAGTTATTTAAAGGAAAAAAATGTCAACATTGAAAGTGAAACAAAGGTAAATCATTTGATTGACTGATTTGATCCACAAAATATCATTCTTATACAGGTAAAAAAGATGATTAACATATATTTTTAATCTATAATATGAAATTAAACAGACCTAGAAAAATCCAAATGCACAAGTTCGTTTCTATTTATATCTATATTTATGTTTATATCGCTTATATGACCGTCGGAGGTTTCCGGAGGTCAACGCGATAGTTAATTAGATGGCGTCTAGACTTAAATACACACGAAACAAAGTTACATATTCTCGAGCCCATGCCCTGTAAATTGTTTATTTTAGACTTTTTATAATATGGATAAATGTTTTACATTGTTATAAATAAAATATGAGAATTTGAGTCAAATTGGTGAACATGAATTTGACAGCTAGTGCCCCTTTTATCCCTTATTAATTATTATAATCCTGATTTATCAACCTTGATCTTGAAAATCAAGACAGGACATTTGTGCTTGATGCTGATAACTTTGTATAATCAATTTGCAAAAAAAGTTACTTTTATCTAAGATGGAATCTATCACAAGTCAACACTTAACTTCAATATGGGTATGATTTTTTTCAAAATCAAACACAAACTGTATATTGGTTCAAATTCCTAGGTCAGAGCTGATTCAATATTTAATCAATGTAAACCTTCGGCTTTCAGACTTATTGAATGATTGTTTTAATGGCTTATTGGCTAAACACCAAGTGTTGCAAAAGCAGACACTCATCCGATGTATACATAATGAATTGAGGTCTGGAGCAGGCATGTCAGTAACTGCTAGTAGACCTTTGTTAATTTATGTTGATTATTGTCATTTTGCTTAGTTTCTTCTGTTACCTATTCTAACATCGGACTCTGACTTCTTTTGAACAGAATTTTACTGTGCGTATTGCTGTGTGTTTGTTTATTCCACATTGGCTAGAGGTATAGGGGGAGGGTTGAGATATCACAAAACATGTTTAGCCCCACATGCATTTTTGCGCCTGTCCCAAGTCAGGAACCTCTGGCCTTTGTTAAGTCTTGTATGTTTTTTTAATTTTTGTTCATTTATTAGTTTCGGAGTTTAGTGTGACATCCATTTTCGCTGCACTAGTATACATAATTGTTTAGAAGCCAGCTGAAGCCCGCCTCCGAGTGCGGGATTTTCTCAATGTGTTGAAGACCCATTGGTGGCCTTGGGCTGTTTTCTGTTCTTTGGTCGGGTTGTTGTCTATTTGACGCATTCCCTGTTTCCATTCTCAATTTTGTAATGAAGCCTTGCAAACCATGGTAAATACAATTGCTTTACCCCTTGCTTAATGAAGTTATATGGATTAAGGGTCATCTCATATTATCACATTTTTTTACAAGGTATATGATTTTTCAAAAAAAAAAGAGTACATGTTGTCATCAATGGAGACCATAGTGCCTTTGTTACATTCCCTGAATAAATAAAATATAGTAACAGACTGAAATAAATTAATCTCCCACAGTGTATAAGGTCTAAAAGATCTTTTAGCACAGGTTGTTGTCAGGTTCTAGTACTCTACAACATGCAAAGTGTGTGGCATTTTCCCAACAAGTGTCTTGGATTTAACATCTTAATCAAAACAGATGTGACAGAGTATATAAAATAAAATCATAATGATCATAATAATAATGTTATTGAACAAAGGTAAATCATTCAACAATTATAACATGTAAATCTTCCATGAGATTATCTAAAGAAGTACAAATGTAGTATCTTGTGATAAAACATATAAACTTTCATTGCAGTTTTCCAGTTTTCTTTCTGATCCGTTACAAGGCTCAAGCATACATTTTGTCTTCTTGTTATTATCCATCATATCATTTTCTTTATACCATTTAATAGCATTGTCTAAGTTTTTATTTAACATGTGTTTAAATTTACAATAGATTTAGAAGACAAACGCAATTTTATAGATCAGACTCTGTATCCTATATATAGATTGTAAAGTTAATTGTAAGTCATTAACAGTTCAGTTTAAATTTTTCAACAAATATCTCATTTTTAGGAAATACAATACAATACAATACAAAATTTTCATTGTCAATCAAGGACGCCCGAAGAGGGCAGTATAATTACAAACAATTTATTACAATGATTATTATTAATTCTTAATGATATATAATGACAAAATATAGAATAGAAAAAAAAATAAACACAAAAGAAAAAGCAAAACTCTAGATATGTATATATATATAACATATAGAAATGTTGAGGCATATATTCAACTGTCTATGGATATAGTGCCATAAATTTATTCCAAAATTTGGCCTATGAATGATTCACTGGTTCAGTAAACTGGCATCGTTTACTTTTTTAACATAATATCCCTTTCAGTCCAGAGACTGATTATTAAATTACATAGGCATTTTAGAACTTCTAGATCACAACCCATTCATTAGCCATGATAATATAAACATATTTTTGGTGCTACATTTCTTAAGCATCCGTTATTCATATCACATATTTTGCCATGGTCTTAACAGTTTGTTTTTAACAGTGATTCAAAGAATAACTTTAAAGCACCCACACAGGAATGTTGTATTCAGACACACCCAACCAAGCAATTGTCAATTTATTTGCAGTTTGATACAATGATAGTCATTTTGCCAATTAAAATTGTTTTCAAGGGTGCATAGAAAAATAAAATATGTTTACTTACCCTCTATTTGCCATAATTAAACAGTTTTTTTATAATATATAATAGTGTATTTTTTCCACGTCAACAGCTTATTCAACTTTGACAGCACTTGACAGGTTTATTTAGCCCTTAGGCGACAATGAATAGTCAAAAGGTATTCCGAATCGTGAAATGCAGACGAAAAATTGCCGATGAAACACAAGTTTTGATTGGATAAGATATTTAGAGCGACCAATTAAAGTTAATTTTATGAATAAAAATGCATTCATCCTAGAACACCATGGGTATGGCAAAGTTTACTTATTTGTCAGAGGAAGTTTTAAAAGGCTTTGATAATTATAAGGTAATCATCAAGACATTTTACATTTTCTCATGATTAAACAAAATGTTAGAAAACTGTGTTTGCATTTTTGGATCATAAACGCAAAAGATAACGGTAAAACGCAACAAAACATAATGCCATTAATGGATGTTAAATATAGACTCAAGAGGATGTTGGATGTTTGAAAAATTGTGGAGCAAAGATACAAACTATTAGTATATACATATGAAACCAATCTCACTGCACACAACATGTGTTCTTTCTTAAGTTTGCTTGACGTCTCTTATTTTAGTAAAATGTGTCATTTGAAGATGCACATTTTTGTTTGATAATTTTTATTGGTTTATACTAAGATTACTATAACATATTGTTAAAATAGTCTCAGGTTTATAAAGTTTTTGGATTTTTTTTATCAAAAATGCAAAAGATAACGGTAAAACGCAACAAAACATAATGTCATAAATGGATGTTAAATATAGACTCAAGAGGATGTTGGATGTTTGAAAAATTGTGGAGCAAAGATACAAACTATTATTATACTTCACGTTAAAATGCCATATTTTGATTGGCTAATACCAGGGTGTTAATTTACTCTATTACCCTTCATGGAGACGCTTGATCAAGTGTGCGCTTTATTAAATACAACTCTATCCTATGGCAAATACTCTATTACCCTTCACGGAGACGCTTGATCAAGTGTGCACTTTATTAAATATGACTCTATCCTATGGCAAATACTCTATTACCCTTCACGGAGACACTTGATCAAGTGTTTGCTTTATTAAATACGGATGGTTCTTATGTACAAGACGTCATAGTTTATTACTTTGAATTTGAAATTTAATCGACAGTAATAAGTTATACAAATTGGGGTTTTTACCCACCATTTTTTTATGTACACATGTAATTGGGTGATAAAGTTTTTTAATTGCGTTATCAATTCCAATTCACCCCTCAAGCAAATATCAAATTGGGTTTTTCACCACCAAGCTCCTTAATGTATTGGGTTTTTTCATCAACACAATATTGAATATTTAGGCATGTTATAATCACATTATATCAACCCCAGATGTGTTTCCATCTTAAATGTGTTTCTTTCTTAATATGTGCTAGCTGTTTTATTTGGTTTATATACTGAGCAATTGTACATTTAATTTGTGTCCCGTTTTAAACGTTCTGTCAGTTTTGTATTTTCTCAAAACTTATGTAAACTGCAGCTGGTGTCACTAGTTGGACAGGAACTAATTGCCTTTCTAGATCCCATATGATCACCCTACAGTTTAATTATAGTTGGGGTAGGTGTGGCTAAGTGTTTAGATTTTTGTGTAATATATGTGAAATTTAGGTGCTGTAAGAAAGTTTTTGCCAGTCCTTTCACCTATTTGCCAGATCTACTTTTTAATAAAAATAAAAAGTAGTTTCCAAATTTAAGATATACCCCAAAACCTTGAGGTTTATAGGGTGGTTTATAATGACGGAGACCACATTCAACTTAAATTTACAAATAATTCTGCAACATCAAGTAAATAAATGACAATGTTATACTGCACTTGCCAATAAGACAACTATCTTAAGCATCTAGAATAATTAGACCAAAACAAAGAAAGTGTCAAGCTGCATTGACGTAAAAAACAGATATGTGTATTCACTCATCAACTAAAATGAAAAAAATAATATATAAACTGTTTTCGTTTAATTCAATTTACATAAATCTGGGTTAAGTTGTCCCTTATCAGAACTTTTGGTTTCCGATGCTTTCAAACTACATATCATGTCATAATTGATTTGGCCTTTCACTTTTTCCAAGTGATTTCGTTTTTGACGGAACCCCGTGTTTATCGCTCTAGCAATGTTCTCGTTATGGTACGCAAACACGCCCGTGCGTTCAATGGCCCCTTCCTAAAATCACTAGCTGAGTCTTGTTATCATCATAACTTTCCCTCAGCTATCAAAAAGAAGCCGAAAACATGCTTCTGTTCAATATTTTTACCGGACATTTACTTTTGTTTTTTAAAATTCATTGTATGTTATGATAAATCCCGAGCAATCTGAAAAAATATGACAGCATGTCACACGCTAATTGGATAAACGCAGAGAAGATCAAAATGTTTTCATAAACATATGTACCTTTTGAGCAACGGAAAATTCCAACAGGGACCCATTACAGCTACTTGATGCAGGGCTCTATTTTTAGAACGAAAGGACATTTCCAATTATAAATATTATAAAAATAGATTTACGCGACGACTGTAATCAAGTAAGGGTAAATAACGCAAACGATAGCGAATAAAAGCGTTAAGAACCCATGTTTTTGGCATATAATTGGGTTTTCCTTTGAATTAATTGGGTTATTGAACCCTGCAATGGGCAATTGCATTGGGTTTTTAATTATTTTTATTGCGTGATCACGCAAATACGCAGCTTATCTGGAGCTCTGCACTGGTACTTGAGATAAAGAATATTTTGCAAATATTGCTTAACAAAGCCTGAACCTTTAGGAGCCAATCGACAGTATATCAAAATATATACATGTATTAAGCTATTTTTATATGACCGCAAAAAAATTTGCGGTCGTATATCATGTATATTGGTACGACGTTGGCGTCGTCGTCCGAAGACACATAGGTTTTCGCACTCTAACTTTAGTTTAAGTGAATGGATCTCTATGAAATTTTACCATAAGGTTCAATACCACAAAAGGAAGGTTGGGATTGATTTTGGGGGTTATGGTACATTGTTTGTACCAACAGTTAAAAGGAATTAGTGGCCAAAAATAAGCATTTTTCTGGTTTCCAGACAATAACTTGTGTTCAAGTGTATGGATCTCTCTGAAATTGTACTGTAAGGTATCATACCACAAAAGGAAGGCTGGGATTGATTTTGGGGGTAATTGCTTCAAAATTTTAGGAATCAGGGGGCAAAAAAAGGGGCAAAAAACAAGCATTTTTCTAGTTTCAGGACAATAACTTGTGTGTAAGTGTATGGATCTTTATGAAATTGTACTACAAGGTTCCATATCACAAAGGGAAAGCTGGGTTTGAGTTTGGGGGTAATTGCCCTAAACGTTTAGGAATTTGGGGCCAAAAAACAAGCATTTTTCTAGTTTCCAGACAATAACTTTTGTTCAAGTGTATGGATCTCTCTGAAATTGTACTGCAGGTACCATACCACAAAGGGAAGGCTGGGATTGAGTTTGGGGGTGATGAATAATAAGGGGGTTCAAAAAATTTGGGGGGGGGGGATTTTTTTTTCTTTAAAATTTTCCATTTTAAATTGGTTATTTCTGATTTATATATAAAAGCTAATAATAATGATATGGTTTGAATAGGTAAATTAAAATTTTTTAAGTTCTTAGACCACATTCATTCTGTGTCAGAAACATATGTTGTGTCAAATATTTAATCACAATCCAAATTCAGTGCTGTATCAAGCTTGAATGTTGTGTCCATACTTGCCCCAACTGTTCAGGGTTCGACCTCTGCGGTCGTATCAAGCTGCGCCCAGCGGAGCATTTTATTAAAGTATATAATTTTTAAGAGAAAGTAAAATATATTGAAATGTATTAAAATATATCAGTTTCAGCTGAAATATGAAGCCTTTTCATAAGATTAAAAAAAATAGATAGCCTAATTCACTTTGTATATCTATATATAAAAGATTTGTTTATGAAGAAAAAGTACCCTTTTCATTTTTATAAGAAACATAAACTACATATGAATTATCCAGTTGTATTCATTTCTAGATTTTATATCATATCAATATCTTTATTACTGTATACATATGGGTGTAGTAAATTTATTTTATTAATCCATAAGCAGGCCAATTTTCATTCATTGATACATGTATGGCTACAACTTAAAGAAAAACAAGATAATTTGCAAATCTGGGACAGTGGTCCTGAAATGCTAAAATGAGGTTGATCATAGATTTTCTTGTATATATATATATATACAATGTATCATGCATTAACATATATACATACTATAGTTAGAAGTTTAAAAAGAAAGTTCATGCATTCTAAAAAAAGTGTCTAAAATTTGAAAAACATAATCATTAAGTTATAATGTGTAACAGTCTCGTTTAAACAATGCTTTGGATGATATATCATCCTGTGATACTCAACTCTGCAAATCATATTTCTTGCATGATTCTTGAGCAAACTCCAAATTTGTATGCATCCAAATTGGTTTTTTTTGGAATAAGGTTTAAAACTCTAAATGATTGGGAAAATATTTTTGCATTTATAAGAAAATATTTTTGCATTTATCATTTTGTTTATAAGAGACACCTTTTCCCTCTGCCACTAACAAATGAAAAGAAGCATCTTGATGTTCAGAGAGATCTGAGGTACATTGTTGAGTGTTGCACAGACTTATCCACTGGACACTGCAGATATAACCAAACAATTATCTGTCTTTGTGGTGTTGTATAACTTGTGTTCTTTAAATTTGGCTACATCAAATATTGATTCCTTTTAATGGAGTGCTTTAGTGACATAATCATATACATATAATTCAGACATCAAAATCCCATGAGAAGTTAAAAATAGAGCACTTCCAGTGACAAATATGACTGTTATTTTATCAGTAATATGTCATTATAATGTCACCTATGGGCATGCTAACATCTTCATTGACCATGACAAGTTTTAAAAAGAGAATTCCTGCACCTTCCATCATAAATAACATTCTGAAAGCATTTTTTTTAAAATTCTTTAAACAACATGAAAATGAAAGTAAAAATAAAAACACAATCACACATGTCACATTGAAGTGTTCTAAAAAGGTCTTGCATTAATTATTTTAATTGCAAAGATATAAATTTAATGTTTGAAATATTTGACACATAATGAGGAATGCTGAAAACATTTTTCTAGTTTCCAGACAAGAACTTGTGTTCAAGTGTATGGATCTCTCTGAAATTGTACTGCAAGGTACCATACCACAAAGGGAAGGCTGGGATTGAGTTTGGGGGTGATGAATCATTTTTTTTTCTTTAAAATTTTTCATTTTGAATTAATTATTTCTGATTTATATATAAATAATAAACATGATAAAGATATGGTTTGAATAGGTAAATTAAAATTTTTTTTAAGTTCTTAGACCACATTCATTCTGTGTCAGAAACCTATGCTGTGTCAAATATTTAATCACAATCCAAATTCAGTGCTGTATCAAGCTTGAATGTTGTGTCCATACTTGCCCCAACTGTACAGGGTTCGACCTCTGCGGTCGTATCAAGCTGCGCCCAGCGGAGTATTTTATTAGTTTCTGTTCTCTACTTAAGTTAGCCTCAACCAAATGTTATGAGACTTACACGCAATGCTTATTACCACAAAACTCAGATCAAGTTCAAATTTGGGTAGCGTCACTTTTACCGTTCTTTAGTTATGTCCCTTTATAACTACTGTAAATCAACTTATTTTCGCGGTTACTTTATTTCGTATTTAGCCCATTCTATCCCTATTCCCGGCGATTTAATTTCGCAATTTTCAAATTCACTTGATGTAGTTATACAATGAAAGGTCCCAGTTTTAAATTTTCGCGACGATTTAAATTCTACACGCAAAAATAAATCGCTCGCGAAAATTAGTTGGTTTACAGTATATGATATGCAAGCGGGCATTATCTGTGTCCACATGTGGACACTATCCACATGTGGACACTATCCACATTTTTTTATTATACATTAAGTCTAGTAAATATATCTTAACTTTACTGGTAAGAAATTAAAAGCCTCTTACTGGTTTTGACTGTCTGAAATGTTTCCTTATAACTTTTTTTTTGGTCTAAAGCCCAGTTGTCACTATCAAAGTTAAATTGGTCAAAGAAAAATTTGACCAGGTAAACTTGGTCCAAGTCATCATGATGTCAATTGTCACAAAATAAGTTTTTCATCAAAAACTTGGTCAAACAAAAAACTGCATTGTGAATGGATAAATCCAGTCCAAGTCCATCCAAATTTCAAGAAAAATAGGATGAGATTCTATTCCATCCAAGTGTTTGATCAAGTTTCTTTTTTGACATTGTGGCATATTATCACTATAAAAAAATCCATCAAATATTTTGACCAAGAAAACTTGTACAAGAAAACTTTGATAGTGACAATGGCCTTAAAACCAAATTAGTTTGGGCATTAATCATTGTCATGATTGTTAATTGTTGTAACAAATATTTATTAACAAGTCAAAATATAACACTTCCTTGTAATGTTTCTTTTTTATTTTAGTACAGTTCAGTTGATACTAGTCCCATCAGTAAATATGTTACACATCCTTTCTGGAACTGGGTAGTTGAGGTAAGTAAAGTTTATATTTTTTATATCCTTTGATCAGGAAAGCTTAAATGCCAGTTTTGGTAAATATACCCAAATTCATTGATTATTGTAGCTATAGGTAGCTTAACTGGAATTACTTGGATAAAGTTCAGAGTTAGAAGATGATTATGAAATTCTTCAAAATTCTTCAAAATACATGAAAATAAAAGTTTACAAAAAAAAAGACACATTGAAAATTGAGAAAATACTGCTGGGTGACTTTTTGGGTCACATCAAATAAGCTGTACTGTGCAATATGGGAAGTTTTGCAATTAAAGGCTCCATACACACAAATTTTCTGTTTTTTTTTCTTTTGTAAAATCACGGCTAAACAGATTTGTATGAGGATTTGGTTAAATGTAAGATTTTTATGCAGCAAAAGAAAAGACTAGAAAACTGAAATCCAAATAGGACTAAATTTAAAAATAATAATGAGTATTTTATTGCATCATCATATTGACAATGTAATCACAAAATGTATTGCAACATAGTCTAATTGTGCAAAAGTCATGCCAGAGAAGGTTTGACTCCTGGCACAGTAGCTTCAACATGCTGCTTGCAGGTACAATACATGTGTCAAGCCTGACTGAAGAAAAGCTGAGATATACACAGATGTTTTACATAATCCCAATGCCACTAAGTATATATAAGCTGGCAGGGTATAAAGTGTAATCCATGTCCTTTCATCGTTCTGTCGATCTGTTGTCCAGACTTTTTTACTTCCTGCAGATCTGAGTTTGGTTCTTTAGTGTATAATAATGACTTGCATGTCAAGTATGTTTTTTGTTCAGGTTTTGTCTACTTTTGACAGAATTATGGCCCTTCAACTTAGAAAATTTCATGAAAACTGTACTTGTCTGAACATTTTATTTTATAATGCCTGTAGATCTTGATCTCATTTTTGTCGAGCCTGCGACTTTTGTCGCAGAAAGCTCGACATAGGGATAGTGATCCGGCGGCGGCGGCGTTAGCTAACTTCTTAAAAGCTTTATATTTTAGAAGCTAGAAGACCTGGATGCTTCATACTTTGTATATAGATGCCTTATGTTACGAAGTTTCCGTCTGTTATATGTCCATTGTCCTTGACCTCATTTTCATGGTTCAGTGACTACTTGAAAAAAAAGTCAACATTTTTTGTAATATTTCTTTCTTATTATGAGTAATAGGATAACTATATTTAGTATGTGCGTACCTTGCAAGGTCCTCATGCCCGTCAGACAATTTTCATTTGACCTCGACCTCATTTCATGGATCAGTGAACAAGGTTAAGTTTTCGTGGTCAAGTCCATATATCAGATACTATAAGCAGTAGGTCTACTATATTTGGTATATGGAATGATTGTAAGGTGTACATGTCCAACTGGTAGGTGTCATCTGACCTTGACCTCATTTTCATGGTTCAGTGGTCAAAGTTAAGTTTTTGAGTTTTTGTCTTTTTTTCTAATACTATATGCAATAGGTCAACTATAAATGCTGTATGAAAATATTTTATGATGTACATGTCAGTCTCACAGGTTTTATTTGACCTTGATCTCATTTTCACGGTTCATTTCTCAGTGTTAAGTTTTTGTGTTTTGGTCTGTTTTTCTTCAACTATAAGCAATAGATCAACTATATTTGATGTATGGAAGGATTTTAAGGTGTATATGTCTGTCTGGCAGGTATCATCTGACCTTGAACTCATTTTCATGGTTCATTGGTCAATGTTAAGTTTTCATGGTTAAGTTTGTTTCTTAGATACTATAAGCAATAGGTCAACTATATTTAATGCCTAAATTGATTGTAAGGTGTACATGTTTGTCTGGCATGGTTCATCTGACCTTGACCTCATTTTCATGGTTCATTGGTCAATGTTAGTTTTCTTGTTTAAGACTGTTTCTTAGAAACAATAAGCCATAGTTCAACTATGTTTGGTTTATTGAATGATTGTAAGGTGTACATGTATTTCTCGTTTGGTTTATCTGACCTTGACCTCATTTTCTTGGATCATGTTAAGTTTATGTGTTACTTGTAGTAAAGCTTTGTATTTAGGACTATCAACATAAAATCAATGGTTAGTAAAGAAGGCGAGACATTTCAGCGTGTGCACTCTTGTTTACATAAGTGTATATGATAAATACAGATCTAGTTTACATTTGGTTCAGGTTGAGTACAATGATGACTGCAGATCTAGTTTGCATTTGGTTCAGGTCGAGTACAATGATGACTGGCAGATCTAGTTTGCATTTGGTTCAGGTCGAGTACAATGATGATTGGCAGATCTAGTTTGCATCTCGTTCAGGTCGAGTACAATGATGACTGCAGATCTAGTTTGCATTTGGTTCAGGTCGACTCAAGTACAATGATGATTTCAGGTCTAGTTTACATTTGGTTCAGGGCGAGTAAAATGATGATTGCAGATTGAGATACATGTAGTTGTCATTATAGCACTCACCTTGAATGTTGGAGCATCACTGAAGCAAGACTGCAAAGAACAGGTATGCATTTGTTACTAGTATATATGTTTACAGGTAAACAAGATTTTAAATCAAATTAGTTTCACAAACAACCAAAAATATTTAAATTATTAATGTTTTCTTTCAGTTTTATCCAAGATGGATAGCACCAAATCTGCTGACACTGACAGGTTTCCTACAACTTGTGGCTAACTTTTTCTTATTAACATATTATGACTGCAGTTTTTATGCTGCTAGTAAAGACCATCCTGAGAGTCCTCCTGTTCCAAACTGGGTGTGGTTAGTGTGTGGATTGAATATGTTTATTTCACATACATTAGGTAATACTTTATACTTAAGGAAAATATTGTTTTGTTCATATAATCTATTTTTATACACCGCAAAAAATTTGTGTTCGTATAATGCTATCATGTCGGCTGCGAAGGCACATTTGGTTTCCGAACAATGACTTTAGTTTAAGTGAATGGATCTCTATGAAATTTTACCAGAAGGTTCAATATCACAAAGAGAAGGCTAGGATTGAGTTTGGGGGTAATTGCCCCAAACATTCAGGAATTAGGGGCAAAAAAGGGGCCAAAAACAAGCATTTTTCTAGTTTCCAGACAATAACTGGTGTTAAATTTTATGGAACTCTCTGAAATTGTACATTTTTCCTGAAAAGAAAATAATCTTCAAAATTTCAAAAAATTGGGGGGGGGGGGGGGGGGGATTTTTTTTTCAAATATTTTTTGGGGCTTCATATGTTTTTCTTGAAAAATTTTGAAATTTCAAATTTTTTTCCATTTTTAGTGGGGGGATATTTTGGGGGGGGGGGGGGATTTTTTTTTTCATAATTTTTTGGTTTTTTTTTTACATTGATTATTTCTGATTTATATATAAAAGCAACAAATACTGATATGGCAGGAGATACACACCAAACAGGGTGTGAAAACTATTATATACAGTCCGCCAAAAGTTAAGCACCACCTATCTTTGTTGCATCGAAATTTTTTTCATTTAAAAAAAACCAGTTAACCCTCGAAAAAGAGAAAATATTCATGTAGCAATTTTGCTAACATATGCCATAAACATACCATCAACTTAAGTTTGGTCACTGATACAGATTTTATGCATTTGAATTTTGCGTTCATAGAAATAGTGAAAATTACACAAACCAGAAACAGAATTTAAGTTTTACTTTGATTTTATTTTTTTACAACAATTAATCACCCAAATTCATTAAAAGTCTCTACAAATAATCTTTGGTATGTTCGGCAAATTTAATTTCAATATTTAAGTCAATAGGATGTGTAACCACCTCTCTTCCGGTACAGTTCCATAACACGGCGTCTCATACTCTGTACAAGCCTGCTGAACTTCAGTTGAGCAAATTTATTCCTTTCATCAACAATTGTCCCTCTTAAATCGCCAAGATTTTGCAAAGGTGGATCTCTGCAATTGAGATTTCTGCCAATGGCATCCCAGACATGTTCGATATGGTTCAGGTCTGGAGACATGGAAGGCCAAAAGATAGTGTCAATGGCTTCTTGATCTTTGTAATCGGTTACAATCCTTGCCTTGTGTGATCTAGCGTTGTCGTCCATGTACGAGAATCTTGACGCAAGTTGGGGATTCTCAAAATGAGGGACTACAATGTTTCTAAGCACCAAATCCCTGTATGTCTGTCTGTTCATGTTACCCTGCAAAATATGCATACCCAGCTTACAACAGTATGAAAAGAAACCCCATACTGTAACACCACCACCAACGATTGCTGTCGTTGGGCAATTGTTGTTTTGGTGATAGGCAGTTTTATTTCCCCGCCAAACTCCTATTTTGCCGTCTATTGGTCGCACCAGAAACCAACTCTCATCTGACCAATGAATATTTTGCCAGGTTCTCATGTTCCATCGTCGATGGTCATTTGCACTTTGAAACCTGAATATACGGTGCCTGTCTTTTAGGGCAAGTCTTTTGACAACACGACGTGCTCTTATGTAGCCTCTATGAAGTCGACGGACCAATGTTCAAACACTAACACGACCACCTGGAGGTCAGTGGTGTCTAAGCTATGGGGCAGGAGTAAATGGGTTGGCTTTAGCACGACCAATAAGTAGTCTGTCATCACAATAGGTAGTTAAACAGGGTCTTCCGGACCTTGGTCTATCATTTACAGTTCCTGTGTCAATATGACGTTGTAAAAATCTGACAATGACGGTGCGATTAACATTGAAATGGTTACCAATGCTCCTAGTGCTCCTACCGGCATTTGACATGTCAATTGCTTGTCAACGTCCAGTCACAGATAACTTACCGCTTGCCATATTTCACAGTGACTTGGTGAAAGTCAAATTTAACCTGTACGCGGGACAGAAGGAAGATGATTTAAAGGCATCAAAACAGTGTATTTGTAAAAGTGCAGATGACCTTTAATAAAAGGTTGCTTGGCGGGTATATCGGAGTTTAATTTTTTTGGTCGTAATGAATTTTCTTAGTGAATGCTATAGGCAATTCATAACACCAAACATAAATATTTTTTTCGCAATAGTTAAAAAAATATTGACAGTTATATTTAGGTGGTGCTTAACTTTTGGCAGACTGTATATATAACAGATTAACTAAGTACTGTGCAACAGGACAGTATTGCGCAATAGCAAGAAATCTTCAATTGAAAATAAATACAAATCTTTTAACCAACTTCAATGGGATTAAATAAAGTCTTTAATTTTGGGGGTTCTAACCTTGTATTACTATTTTGAATATATATTGGGCCCCATTTTTAAATTGGTCTACATTGAGGTCCAAAGGGTTCAAAATTAAACTTTGTTTGATTTCATCAAAAACTGAGTTATTGCGGCTCTATGATATGCTGAACATTTAGATTTTTTATTTTGAGCCCTGTTTTCAAATTAGTCCGTATTAAGGTTTGAAGGGTCCAAAATTAAACTTTGTTTGATTCCAACTAAAATTAAATTTTTGATGTTTTTTTATATGCTGAATCTAACCATGTTGTTAGATTTTGGATATCAGACCATACTAGGTAAATTAAATGTCCCATTTCAAATTTTTAAGATCTTTGTGTCAGAAACCTTAATTATGTCAAAAATTTGATCACAATCCAAATTCAGACAGTATCAAGCTTGAATATTGTGTCCAAACTTGCCCCAACTGCTCAGGGTTCAACCTCTGCGGCCCTATCAGGCTGCGCTTGGGCGAAGCAATTTATTTGTACATGAAATTGTATAAGTTGTTGACATCTGTATCTGTAGAAAGCATTACAGTATTTCTTCTTGTAATTATATGTTAATGTCTCCTCCCTGAAAAGTCACTGAATGACAGAAACAAAATCTGACATGTTGAACTAAGATTGCCGCATTTGGCCAGGTTGCACATAGTGTTAAGACAACAAAAGTGCTATGAAGTATTTTTCTTTCTCCAAAAAAAGATTATAAATTATAGTATAGAAAAAAATATATATTTTTTTACAGATGGGACAGATGGAAAGCAAGCCAGAAGAACCAAAACAAGTAGCCCATTGGGTGAACTTTTTGACCATGGTTTAGATAGCTGGGTAACATTATTTATGCCAGTGGCGATGTACTCTGTGTATGGTCGTGGAGAGAGTGGTGTCAATGTATTCAGAGTGTTCTTAATAACTGTTGGAGTACAGTTTTGTTTCATGCTATCACATTGGGAGAAATACATTACAAATGTTTTGTTCCTGCCTTGGGGTTACGATTTAAGTCAGCTTGTGAGTATATACCTAAGTAAAGTTCTGTATTGTTTAAAGAATTTTGATTAGGTTGATAAAATTATGTAACCATTAGCCAGTTTAAGAAGGATAAGGTGAATTGGAAGCCCATGTGTTTTTGTACCCCTTCCTAACTGTTGAAGTTGGGGGCTTTATTGCAATCACCTTGTAGGTCCGTTCGTCCAATGAATATTTTGGTCACATTTTTCTGAGAAACTACTGAACAGAATGACTTCATATTTGGTAAGCAGCTTGACAGTGATGAATTGTAAAATGGGAGTAGTTATTGGATCTGCCAGCTACCTTCTTCCTGTTCGCCAATACTATGAATTTTATAATATTGGTGTGCTTAGCAGAACAAGGCATGTATTCATGTTTGAGCAAGAATAACTTTTAAAAAATGGGGGAAAAGTATTTATAATTAAACTGGTAAAGAAATTTTGGTGAATAATTGTAATAGGATAAATGTTTATGATTTTTGTATGTATTTCTGAATGACATTCATGTCTTTATATAATTATAGGTTTTTATTCTATTTAAAGGTATACTTGATATGCTAAGGTATCAGTTTATGTTGCATTCCATTATGCTGTTTTTTTAATTGACAATTGATATTTAGAAGTGGTTTCAGTTTCTTAATCTTAATATATTATTGATAATAGAATTATTGATGTTTTTTTTCAGGGTTTGACATTCATATATCTGTTAACTTCCATGGGTGGACATGATATGTGGAAATTTAAAGTACCTATAGTTGATATGTTTATGTCAGAAGTATTTGAAATTATATGTTATGGTATGTACTGATTGGTTCATAATTTATGTAGTTATATAACAAGTCATAACAGGTAGGAATTTGGGAATATAATATAGTCTAGTGATCATGTAGTCAAGTAATTTTAATTTAGTTTTTTAAGGATATAAATATATTTTAGAATATTTAGAATTATTTCTTACGCAAAAACGGGAATTGTAATTTTACTTTGTTGTTTTGTTTAAACTTTTTTTCGCAGAGTGAAAGTCACTTCATTTTTGTTGATTTTAATTTTGAAAACTTCTGTTAGAAAACACAAGCTTTGAGATAGAAATTCTGAATACTAATTTTTAACCTTATTTAAATTTTGTGATTATTTCAATAAGACAGCAACCCAACAACACAATAAATTAGAAAATGTTGTTTAATTTGTTATATTGTTTATTTCAGTTGGATTTTTTGGATTAACCATGCCATTTACTCTGTGGAATATTTATGAGTAAGTGCCATTATATATAAGTATGTAAAGAAAAATTTACTGTTAAAAAAAAATACAGTGCATTACTGTATTTTACAAAAAGAAAATCAAATATTTCTTATCAAAAGTATTTCCATTACTTAAAAATAATTTCTAAGCACTTTATTGTTGAGAATTCCTTTATAAAATAATGTATGTTAGTAAATTTAGACTTTTTATGATATAATAACATGTTTTCGGTTGTAATAATATAATACTAACATTTTTATACGACCGCAAACAAATTTTGTGGTCGTATATTGGTATGACATTGGCTTCGTCATCGTCCGAAGACACATTGGTTTTTCGCACTCATAACTTCATTCTGTGTCAGAAACCTATGCTGTGTCAAATATTTAATCACAATCCAAATTCACTGCTGTATCAAGCTTGAATGTTGTGTCCATACTTGCCCCAACTGTTCAGGGTTCGACCTCTGCGGTCGTATCAAGCTGCGACCAGCGGAGCATTTTATTGTAATTCATGTCACAGAAATTAGTATACTACAACAGTTGATACTTTTACAGTACTTAATTAACAGACAAATAAAGAATGCATGATTTACTCATTTCTCAGTGCTATAACTGCAATATAAAATAAAAGGTTTTAAACACAATTAGCCATGTTTTATTAAAAGTGCATTCATTTAACATTAATTTAGCATATAATATATTTTTTTATTCTGTTTGGTCCTAAATTGTACCAGCTCCCTCAGAAGTTTGCACCTTTTTTCCTGTACACACCATATCAGTCCATAAATGTTGTGTTATTATATTATTTTGTATTTGGACAACCTGATAGAATTGGTGGATTATGATATTTGTGACTTTTTATCTTTAAGGTCATATAAAAATAAAACTGGAAAAATGCTAAGTTTGTGGGAAGCCATGAGACCTGTAATAGCAACTATTAGTTTGTTTTCCTTGATGATAATCTGGGCCAAGTATTCCAGTTGTGATATTATAGAATTATATCCTAGACTGTTCTACCTAACAACAGGGACAGTATTTTCAAATATTACAGTAAGTTTTATTTTTATAAAGGAGCGATATTGTGCTTTGTGTTCTCTCCACAAATTTACAATAGCAGTGTTGTCAAAAATAAGACATTTCAAATCTTCTAAATTTTTGACTTAATCTGTACCATTATACGTTTGTCTTATGAATGATAAGTCATTTTAGAATTATATCTTGATTGTTATGAAAATTGAAAAAAAATGCATTTAAAACCTGAGAAAGTTTTAAATCTTGATGAATTTTGAGAAAAATTTAGCACAGTGGTACCACTGCAGTGTTAAATATGCTCCTGTAAAAACATTTCATAAACTTTTTTGTTTAATGAAAAAACTGTTATAATAAGTTTATAAGCTTATAGATCAACTTTGTTATATGCAAATTTTATACATAGAAATAGTGCATTTTTTATGAAAATTGCTTGAAATTTTTTATGAAAATGCTTGAAATCATATTTTAACTCAATATGATAGTATTTATGAAAAATACATTTATTGTTTTGATTTTTATACGTCCGCAAAAAATTTTGCGGTCGTATATTGGTATCACGTCGTCGTCATCCGAAGACATTTGGTTTCCGGACAATAACTTTAGTATTAGTAAATAGAATCTATGAAATTTAAACATAAGGTTTATAACCACAAAAGGAAGGTTGGGATTTTAAGGGTCATGGTCCCAACAGTTTAGGAATTAGGAGCCCAAATAAGCATTTTTCTATTTCATGACAATAACTTGTGGAACAGTGTATGGATCTCTCTGAAATTATACCACAAGTTTCCATACCACAAAGGGATGGTTAGTATTGGCTTTGGGGGGTTATGGCTCAAACCGTATAGGAATTAGGGGCAAAAAAGTGAGAAAAAACAAGGGTGTCCTGGTTTATGGACAATTACTTAAGTACAAATTACAGTGTAAGGGAGGATATTCAAATACAACTTTGAATTACCTCCCTTACACTGCTTTTGAATTATGTATAAAGAATTTTTGTATTGTCTTGAGGTGATTAGCTGTCAATTCATTTTTAGAAGTTACTATTTTAATAATTTTAAAAATGCTGATTAAGGTAAATTAATTTAAGCTATGATTATGTATGTCATTTTCTATTCTAAGACTTTTATGATGTATTTAAATGGGTTATTATGGTTGCAAACTCCATTGGAAATTTGAATTGAAATATGACCATGACTGAGGGAAAGAAATTTTTTTTTGGAAAAAGGGGGGGGGGGTTAAAAAAAATTGTTGGTGGGGGGACAATTTCTCCTCCAGATTTCAGAAATCAAAAAGAAAATCCTTCAAATTTTCTTTTTTTTTTTTAAAAAGGGGGGGGGGGGGAGGTCAATTTGCAACAGCATAATGTATTGCACAAAAAGCAAAAAATTGAATATAAATTCAAATCATATAACCAATTCTAAGTTCTTTGACTACAGTTATTCTGTGTCAGAAACCTATTATGTGTCAAATATTGGATTACAATCCAAATTCAGACCTGTATCAAGCGCGAATATTGTGTGCATTTTTGCCCCAACTGATCAGGGTTGGACCTCTGCGGTTGTATCCAGCTGCGCTCGGCGAAGCAATTTATTTTTCACAAAGAAAACTATTTTATTGTGCCTTTTGCTAGATTTGATTTATTAGAATTTAAATGAATTCTGATTTAACGGGAAGTAACTTCTTTTGATATTAAACTTCATAAGTAATATTTGACTGGATTTACCCATTTTCATGTTAAGCAAGAAACAAAAAGATACAAAAACCCCTTACTATGCCTTTTCAGCTTAGTTTCACAAAGCATTTAATAAAAGCAATCAATAAATTTCATATCAATTTTCAATCTGCTGTTTTACTGTCTGTTCACATAATTATGTGTTTTCCTGAAATCTTCATAAGATAACAAAAGAATAAGCAAAAAATCTAGTAGCAAGATAAAAAACAACACTTTTTAATGATAAAAATCACATTTTGGCAAAGTATGAACAATTCTGTAATAGATATGTTTGTTCATGATCATCAAACTATCAGTAATTGATATAAGGTACATGTATAGAACATAAACAGCAATGTACTGCAGAATTAGTGAAGGAAGTCATTTGTAACATGACTTACCTGTCAGCCCACCTTATGTTAACCTAAATATTTCTAACAACTGAATTTTAAAATACTGCATGTTGTAAACTGTCAGTTTTTAAGAAAATTGTATTTTTCTATTTATAGTGTCGTTTAATTATTGCTCAGATGAGTAATACCCGTTGTGAAGTATTCCACTGGATGTTAATACCTTTATGTTGCATAGTGGCAGTAGTTATATTGATGGCTCCTGGAAATCTAGAAATATACATCTTATGGTGTTATGCTTTAATAGTCATTAGTGCACATGTCCATTTTGGATGTGGTGTTGTAAGTATTTTTATTCTGAATTTGTAAATTTTTAAAAATCATATGAAACATGTCATAGTGATTATAAAGTTCAAGAAATTTTTGAACCAATACATGCATATACTCTAAGCTAAGCCCTCTGTGCACATTTTTACCATTTAGTACATATCCACAAGACATAATTGACAAAAATATATTCATTCGGTCAGTTTAAAAAAAAAAATTTCCACCTATATAATCTAAATAATGAAATTCAGAGGAGAAAAAAATGGATAATACCAAGGGGACATACAAAACTCATTAGTCAAGATAAACTTACAATGCCATGGCAAAGAAAAACAAGTCCTCAAAACACCATATAGAAACTAAAGACAGCAACATGAACCCACTAATATAAACTTGGGGTGATCTCAGGTGCTCCTGATAATGAGAACACTGATCTATCTATTTGAAAATATACTTTAAATGTATATTAAATTAACTGTTTTTTATGCCCCCGCCGTAGCGGAGGGGGCATTAAGTTTTACCCTTGTCCGTCTGTACGTACGTACGTATGTCCAAAAATTGGTTTCTGTTCTCTTAACTTTAGTTTGCCTCAACCAAATGTTATGAAACTTATACACAATGCTTATTACCACAAAACACAGATCAGGTTTGAATTTTGGTGGCGTCACTTTTACTGTTCTAGAGTTAAGCCCCTTTACAAATGGAAAATTGCTGAATTTATCGTTTCTGTTCTCTAACTTTAGTTTGCCTCAACCAAATGTTATGAAACTTATACACAATGCTTATTACCACAAAACACAGATCAAGTTTTAATTTTGGTGGCGTCACTTTTACCGTTCTAGAGTTATGCCCCTTTAGATATGGAAAAATTGCAAAATTTTTATTTTCTTCTAAATATCAAGTAATTTTATTAAAATTGGAGTTATCTTCCTTTGTCCATGATTATAGTTGAATCAACTACAATCAATGCTTTATACAATGCAATGCTTAATTTTGACTTCCACTGATAAAACACAGATCAAGTTGAATTTGGGTAGTGTCACTTTAATCATTATTGAGTTATGCCCCTTTATAAAACGAAAGATTGCAAAATTTTTAGTTTCCATTCTGTAACTTAAGTTTGCCCCAACCAAACATTATGAAACCTATACACAATATTCATTACCACAAAACTAAGATCAAGTACAAATTTTTTGTTTCCGTTTTCTAACTTTAGTTTGCCTCAACCAAATGTTATGAAACTTATACACAATGCTTATTACTACATAATACAGATTAAGTACGAAATTTGATGGCAACACTTTTACCATTCTTGAGTTATATCCCTTTATAAACATAAAAATTGCTGAATTTTATGTTCCATTCTCTAACTTTAGTTTGTCTCAACCAAATGTTATAAAACTTATACACAACCGTTCTAGAGTTATGCATGTTTACAAATAGAAAAATTGCTGAATTTTTAGTTTCTGTTCTCTACTTTAGTTAGCCTCAACCAAATGTTATGAGACTTGCATACAATGCTTATTACCACAAAACTCAGATCAAGTTCAAATTTGGGTAGCGTCACTTTTACCGTTCTACAGTTATGTCCTTTTATAACTATATGATATGCAAGCGTGGGCATCATCTGTGTCCACATGTGGACACTATCCACATTTTTTTTTATAGCAAACCTTAACAAAAAGTATATTGTATATTAATTTAAGTGGCTTTCTTCGTTAAATGGGAATATACAATCCATTAAATAGCTGACTATAAGCTATGGATGTTTGCTCTATGTTGAAGGCTTTACAGTGACCTATAATTTCTTTTATTCATATAATTTAGACTCTGGTGGATAGTTGTTTCATTGGCAAACATGCCACATCAATTATGGTAACCATATATTCTAGAACAGACCTAACAAATATATTTGACATAAAAAAATATATAAAAATTCTTTGAAAAAATCTACAATAAAAATAAATACATCCATAATCTGTCTAATGCATAATTTTAACTTAACTTTTACCCAATGATTGTTTTTTTGTTGAAGGTGAGAGAAATGTGTGAACACTTCAAGATAAATGCTTTAACTATCAAGCATGCTGATTGACTAGAGGCTGAATCAGCAGACGTCTGAAATCCTATTGTTGTAATACAGTGTTGTGATCTCTTGTAAACATTGCCTCAGTATTGTAACATGAACTTATTGGGTAGGAATTCCTCCAAGCATTAATTATATACTTAAGCGAGAAGTTAGTATCAGTGTTTTTTTTAACATTCCATAGATTTCTTTTAAAAAGAAGTTTGTTAAATCCTTTTCACAGTTTGAATAAAGATTTTTTTCTTCAATTCCTTCATTAGCAGTTCACTTTTTGTATATATATTGTCATCTGTTCTTATGCAATAACAGTTCTTCTCGACATACAGACAAAAAACAAAAATAAACGAGAGATGGAAAAGTTTCACATTTCAAAATTAACTCATAGCAAAGCTTTTGATGTTATTTTATCAGTCAGTGTAGTCAATAATTTATTTTGTTCGTAAAAAAGGTGATGATGATAATGATAATTCATTTTGCATAAAATATGTATCGTTATAAATGTATGAAATGTTTGTTTAGTATTTTAGCAAAAATGGATAATTTTGTCAATGTGCCAATTATTGATTGTTGTAATTTATGAATTTCATGTTCTGTATTTCAAAGAAACAATAAGACAGATATATTTCTTCAGTCTTTGGTTGACAAGTACAATTAGACAGATGTAAACTGTATAGCCATGTATTAATGTTTTATTGGATATTTATGTTTTAATTCAGGGCCTCACCATTATAAGTGATGTAAATTATGTAAATATGTATTCTTTTATTTTTTATCTATCAATCCAAAGAATAAATTTTTGAATATATATTTTATTGTCCATCCAATTATTTTTTTTAGTGTTTATTGTTTTACGTTATTTGTAACAAATTTGCTATGTTATCATCGAAAATCTAGTCACTGTATTAGTCTTAGTGACAAAAGTATATACATAATTAAGATAAGGTTAATGCATGTGTACAAAGATCTATATTTATTTGAGTTGGTTCCCATCAAGAAAACCAGGCTCCAATAAGGTATCATTTATAAAATGTATTGGTTAAAAATAGAACTCCATTAATTTTGTCAGTTTATTGCTAGGTTATGTTGTACATCAATGAAAATGTGATTACTTCTGGTAAAACATAATGAATACTTAATATTGAGTCCTATTGAGAGTCCATTTGATAGTTATGTTCTCCAATTGACAATATTCACTAATATGCTTGAAAAATGATTACTGTTTTTGAGGAAAACCACTTAAATTTCAAAGGCAGTAAATATTAATCATGAGTTTTATGATTTTCTTTATTCTATCATCTGATGTCATGTTATATGCCTGCAATTCACACTTTACACAGTAATCAAATTTTTATACGACCGCAAACAAATTTTGTGGTCGTATATTGGTATGACGTTGGCGTCGTCGTCGTCCGAAGACACATTGGTTTTCGCACTCTAACTTTAGTTTAAGTAAAAGGATCTCTATGAAATTTTACCATAAGGTTCAATACCACAAAAGGAAGGTTGGGATTGATTTTGGGGGTTATGGTACCAACAGTTAAGGAATTAGGGGCCAAAAATAAGCATTTTTGTAACTTCCAGACACAACTTGTGTTCAAGTGTATGGATCTCTCTGACATTGTACCACAAGGTTCCATATCACAAAGGGAAGGCTGGGATTGATTTTGGGGGTAATTGCCTCAAAATTTTAGGAATTAGGGGCCAAAAAAGGGGCAAAAAACAAGCATTTTTCTAGTTTCATGACAATAACTTGTGTGTAAGTGTATGGATCTTTCTGAAATTGTACTACAAGGTTCCATATCAAAAAGGGAAAGCTGGAATTGAGTTTGGGGGTAATTGCCCAAAACGTTTAGGAATAAGGGGCAGAAAAGGGGCAAAAAATAAGCATTTTTCTAGTTTCCAGACAATAACTTGCGTTCAAGTGGATGGATCTCTCTGAAATTGTACTGCAAGGTACCATACCACAAAGGGAAGGCTGGGATTGATTTTGGGGGTAATTGCCTCAAAATTTTAGGAATTAGGGGCCAAAGAGGGGCAAAAAACAAGCATTTTTCTAGTTTCAGGACAATAACTTGTGTGTAAGTGTATGGATCTTTCTGAAATTGTACTACAAGGTTCAATATCACAAAGGGAAAGCTGGGTTTAAGTTTGGGGGTAATTGCCTAAAACGTTTAGGAATTTGGGGCCAAAAAGGGGCCAAAAAACAAGCATTTTCTAGTTTCCAGACAATAACTTGTGTTCAAGTGTATGGATCTCTCTGAAATTGTACTGCAAGGTACCATACCACAAAGGGAAGGCTGGGATTGAGTTTGGGGGTGATGAATCATAAGGGGGTTCAAAAAATTTGGGGGGAGGGATTTTTTTTTTTTTTAATTTTCAATTTTAAATTGGTTATTTCTGATTTATATATTAAAGCTAATAATAATGATATGGTTTGAATAGGTAAATTGAAAATTTATAATTTCTTAGACCACATTCATTCTGTGTCAGAAACCTATATTGTGTCAAATATTTAATCACAATCCAAATTCAGTGTGTATCAAGCTTAAATGTTGTGTCCATACTTGCCCCAACTGTTCAGGGTTCGACCTCTGCGGTCGTATCAAGCAGCGCCCAGCGGAGCATTTTATCTGAAGTCAAATTGAGTAAAATTTTAACACATTGTAAAGATTGATGAAGAAAACTAATACAATTTAGGCAACTGTATGAGTAATTGTTTTGGGGGAATTTAAATAGTTTTTACAATTCCATTAAAGTATGAAAGCTCTCTATGTATATTGAAGATTGTCTTAATAGTTTTTTTGTTTTTTTTTGAGTAATGGAGGATGAGGTGCAATATGACTCTTTGTACCACAAAACAAATTTATAAATATCAGTTTTTCATTTTTTATAAAATTTCACCAAAATATAAAGATTTTATTGACTTTACCAGGTTTACCAGAAAAGTGATAAAAGTAGATTCAAATTATACATCTGTAAGTGATTTGCAAACAAATCAGACCATATACTGTATATTCAGAAATTATTGCAAGGTTTTTATTAATCGAGTAATTGGACTGGATAAGAATACATATATTTGTATACCGACCTTTCTGAAATCACAATAATTAATCTCGAATTTTTGTTCATACTTCAAAAATCGCAATAATAAATGCATACAATAATTTCTGAATTAACAGTTATCTTGCAAAGAATACTATTAATTGTTGCTCATAATATTTTCATGTATATAATATTATTTTAATACTCATGACATAAGGGAATTATTTACTTATGTAAGGGTCAAAGAGAACAAAGTATGAATAGAGACATTTGTGGCAAAGATATAAATTGTACAATTTTATGTGTCTTGTTTTAAGTGATGCTATGATTGTCCTAAATTTACAGCATGTTCAACAACTGTGATGTGAAAATAAAAGGATTATAACAAGTTTCTTTGACTTTGATTGATAAAACGATGGTTCTAAATTACAAAAAAAAAATGTATGCAGTAAAATGTACCTGTTGTTATTGTCAGACTAATGTCCATTAGTACTACATAAATACTGGTACATAAACAAAGGAATTAGAAATTTATGTTGGCTTGAATGATTGATCACTACAAAATAAACTAGAACAAAGCAGAACTAATACATCCAGCTTTCACTTTTTGATAGCCATTTATATGTATTTTATTGAAGATATTTTGACAGTAAATAGATTTCACATCTAATCTATTCATCTAACAGAAACATGTTGAACTCCTCTTTTTTATCCTATATTCTACTTTTATAGAAAATATTACAATAATAAGATATTTAAATTTCTATTTGAGTACAATTTCAAACTTTCTAAATTAAAAGTTGCATAACTCTAGGTAATGTAAAAGGAGTTGCGTCCACAAAGTGCATACTGAATAGTATGAACTATTACAAAGTTCAAAGGGGCAATGCTTGGATTTGTCAATGAACCAGGATGCCCTACTCATTTGGACAGTTTACAAAGTTTCAAGAACCTCAGATGAAGTTTGTAGAGATTATGTTTACAAAATGCATATGGAATGTTTTCAAATTTTTCTAAGTTAAAGGGGCATAATTCTGGAAATACTCAACGGAAAAATCATTGTATAGTGAAGTTAACATGTCATAATCTGTAATTGCACAAAAATTTGTTGAAATTAGACAAAGGACTTGAAACTTATTTCAAACAGGTGGAGGGACAGCGATTCTTTTTGACTCACCAAAAGTTTGTTTGTTCTGGGTATAAAATTACTCCTTAACAAATGTTCATACATATTTAAATAGATATGCTATGGCTTTAGTCTTGTTATTTTATGTCCTCTGAAAATTGTCAATGTGTCATCACTATATATATCTGGAATAATTTTGAATTCTGAAAACTGAAAAAAATGTATTGTCAACATGTCGGACATTAACTAAAAAATGCTTTAACCAATATGCATGAAACTTTGGTGAATTGTTTATATCTATTGACCTGAGCTCCCTTTTGTTTTTTATAAATTTCAGATATACCGTTTCCGAGTTTTGGGGTTTTATTCATTAAAAAAGGGGGGATTTTCCAGTTTTCCGACAATAACTCCAAGAATGCTTTCACCAACTTGCAAGAAATTTTGGTGAATTGTTTATATCTATTGACATGAGCTCCCTTTTGGATTTTTATAAATTTTAGATTTAACGTTTCCGAGTTACAGGGTTTTATTCATAAAAAAAGGGGGATTTTCCAGTTTTCGGACAATAACTAAAAAATGCTTTCAGCAGTTCTCATGAAACTTTGATGAATTGTTTATATCTGTTAATGTAAGCTCCCTTTAGAATTTTATAAATTTTAGATTTACATTTCCGAGTTATGGGGTTTTATTCATTAAAAAAGGGGGGATTTTCCAGTTTTTGGACAATCTCTCAAAATTGCTTTCAGCAGTTCTCATGAAACTTTGGTGAATTATTGATAGCTATTGATGTAATCTCCCTATTGATTTTCATAAATTTCAAATATGACATTGAGAAGAAATTGAACTTTATTTGTTTATAGTCTTGACAACAGATTTACTAAGTATTGCGCAACAGCACAGTGTATTACACAACAGCAAGAAATCTTTAATTGAATATAAATTCAATTCATATAACAAATTTCAAGTTCTTTGACTACATTTATTTAGAAACCTATAATATGTCAAATACATTTGTATTTAATTACAATCCAAATTCAGACCTGTATCAAGCTTGAATATTGTGTCAATTTTTGCCCCAACTGTTCAGGGTTGGACCTCTGTGAGCGTATCTAGCTGTGCTCAGCAAAGCAGTTTATTCATCATAGATTACCTATCAATTTTCCAGATTTCAAAATTATACCAAATAATTCCTTGTTATATGACCTTTTGTCAAATTAATAATTTCTGGCATCCATTTAATTGTTTCAACATCAGCCCATGATCTATTTTATAGTAAAATATAACATCACAATGTTGTTCATTCAAGCATGAGTTACATCCATTTAAATGTAGGAAGCAGTTAAGTTATGGGATTCAAGAGGATAATTAATTTCTATTATATCACAAGCCTTGAAGTGTATATTCAGTGGTTTACAGAAATATAGAAGTCAATGTTTGTTTTGATAGTTTCCTGTGAACTTTTGAAATTTTTGTGGGTTTTTTTTCAGCATTTCCTGATATTCATGTGGAGATGAGAGATGAAGTTGTTGGGATTTATCTATTACCAGCATAAACATAAAGTATGCTATTTTTAACAATGGAAAATGATAGCAGGAGTATCAATCCATTTGTAAAACTACAGCTTGTTTATTTCAAACTCTGCTTATCACTTTTCAATTTTATGGTTAGTTTTATAGCATATCCAGATAGGAGAGGATCAGATATGTTGTAGCACTGACAAAAATATATACCTTTTTAACTCACCAAGGTCAACCAGATTTTTTGACCTTATTTTCATGCTCTAGTAACTTAGATTTTTGCATGAGGTATGTTTTTCAGTAACTTTATGTAACTGGTCAATAATATTTGATACTTCATTCTTAGAAAGGAAAATATGTGATGTTCAAATGGTTCAATGCTAGGTTGAGTTTTTTGGGGTGTTTCTAATACACGTCGGGTTTTTATGCCCCCGCCGTAGCGGAGGGGGCATTAAGTTTTACCCTTGTCCGTCCGTATGTACGTTCCAAAGTTGGTTTCCGTTCTCTAACTTTAGTTTGCCTCAACCAAATGTTATGAAACTTATTCAAAATGCTTATTATCACAAAACACAGATCAAGTTTGAATGTTGGTGGCGTCACTTTAACTGTTCTAGAGTTATGCCCCTTTACAAATTTTACGTTTCCGTTCTCTAACTTAAGTTTGCCTAAACCAAATGTTATGAAACTTATACACAATGCTTATTACCACAAAATACAGATCAAGTTTGAATTTTGGTGGCGTCACTTTAACCGTTCTAGAGTTATGCCCCTTTACAAATGAAAAAATTGCTGAATTTTTCGTTTCCGTTCTCTAACTTTAGTTTGCCTCAACCAAATGTTATGAAACTTATACACAATGCTTATTACAACAAAATACAGATCAAGTTTGAATTTTGGTGGTGTCACTTTAACTGTTCTAGAGTTACGCCAAATGTTATGAAACTTATACACAATACTTATTACCACAACACTCAGATCAAGTATGAATTTGGGTAGCATCACTTTTACAGTTCTTTAGTTATGTCCCTTTATAACTTTATATGATATATATGCAAGCAGGGGCAAGATCTGTGTCCCATGGGCACATTCTCCATTTATTTATATTTAATATTTGAGTGTGAAGAGAATATAGTATATGGCCTAAACCTCACTTTATATGATCTGCTGGTCAGGTTAAGGAGTTGCAAATAAGATCTGTTTTTGTATAGCTATGTATTTCAAGAGCACATAATTTGGTACGTGAACTATTATTTGTAATGAGTATAGGATTGTTCAAACATGATTTAAAAAACTCCACTTTATGTAGATAAAGTTTACACCACTACCAAAAGAGAGGCGAAAGATACCAAAGGAACACCCAAACTCACAAGTGGAAAACAAACTGACAATGCCATCGCAAAAAAGTAAAAAACGAAAAAGACAAATGACAGCACACAAAACACACAAGTGGAAAACAAACTGACAATGCCATCGCAAAACAGTAAAAAACCAAAAGACAAATGACAGCAAGCAAAACACACAAGTGGAAAACAAACTGACAATGCCATCGCAAAAAAGTAAAAAACCAAAAGACAAATGACAGCACACAAAACACACAAGTGCAAAAAAAACAGACAATGCCATCGCAAAAAAGGAAAAAACCAAAAGACAAATGACAGCACACAAAACACACAAGTGTAAAACAAACTGACAATGCCATCTTAAAAAAGGAAAAAACCAAAAGACAAATGACGGCACACAAAACACACAAGTGGAAAACAAACTGACAATGCCATCGTAAAAAAGGAAAAAACCAAAAGACAAATGACATCACACAAAACACACAAGTGGAAAAAAAACAGACAATGCCATCGCAAAAAAGTAAAAAACCAAAAGACAAATGACAGCACACAAAACACAAGTGTAAAACAAACTGAAAATGCCATCGTAAAAAAGGAAACAAGAGTGCACACGCTGAAATGTCTCGCCTTCTTTACTAATCATTGATATTATGTTGATAGTCCTAAATATAAAGCTTTATTACAACTGTCACATAAACTTAACATTAACCAAGTAAACTAAACATTGACCAATGAACCATGAAAATGAGGTCAAGGTCAGATGAACCATGCTAGGCAGGCATGTACAGCTACCAATTCTTCCATACAACAAATATAATTGACCTATTGCTTATAGTTTAAGAAAAACAGACCAAAACACAAAAACTTAACACTGAGCAATGAACCTTGAAAATGAGGTCAAGGTCAAATAAAACCTGTGTGACTGCCAAATAGATCATAAAATATTTCCATACACCAAATATAGTTGAACTATTACATATAGTATTAGAAAAAAGGACCAAAACTCAAAAAACTTAACTTTGACCACTGAACCATGAAAATGAGGTCAAGGTCAGATGACACCTGCCCGCTAGACATGTACACCTTACAATCATTCCATACACCAAATATAGTAGACCTATGGCATACAGTATAAGAAAAACAGACCAAAACACAAAAACTTAACTATAACCACTGAACCATGAAAATGAGGTCAAGGTCGGATGACACCTGCCAGTTGGACATGTACACCTTACAGTCCTTCCATACACCGAATATACTAGACCTATTGCTTATAGTATCTGAGATATGGACTTGACCACCAAAACTTAACCTTGTTCACTGATCCATGAAATGAGGTCGAGGTCAAGTGAAAACTGTCTGACGGGCATGAGGACCTTGCAAGGTACGCACATACCAAATATAGTTGAACTATTGCATATAGTACTAGAAAAAAAGACCAAAACTCAAAAACTTAACTTTGACCACTGAACCATGAAAATGAGGTCAAGGTCAAATGACACCTGCCCGCTAGACATGTACACCTTACAATCATTCCATACACCAAATATAGTAGACCTATGGCATACAGTATAAGAAAAACAGACCAAAACACAAAAACTTAACTATAACCACTGAACCATGAAAATGAGGTCAAGGTCGGATGACACCTGCCAGTTGGACATGTACACCTTACAGTCCTTCCATACACGGAATATACTAGACCTATTGCTTATAGTATCTGAGATATGGACTTGACCACCAAAACTTAACCTTGTTCACTGATCCATGAAATGAGGTCGAGGTCAAGTGAAAACTGTCTGACGGGCATGAGGACCTTGCAAGGTACGCACATACCAAATATAGTTATCCTATTACTTATAATAAGAGAGAATCTAACATTACAAAAAATCTTAACTTTTTTTTCAAGTAGTCACTGAACCATGAAAATGAGGTCAAGGACATTGGACATGTGACTGACAGAAACTTCGTAACATGAGGCATCCATATACAAAGTATGAAGCATCCAGACCTTCCACCTTCTAAAATATAAAGCTTTTAAGAAGTTAGCTAACGCCGCCGCCGCCGTAGCCGCCGCCGCCGCCGCCGCCGCCGCCGGATCACTATCCCTATGTCGAGCTTTCTGCGACAAAAGTCGCAGGCTCGACAAAAACCAAAAGACAAATGACGGCACACAAAACACTAAAGTGGAAAACAAACTGACAATGCCATCGTAAAAAAGAAAAAAACCAAAAGACAAATGACAGCACACAAAACACACAAGTGGAAAACAAACTTACAATGCCATCACAAATAAAATGCTCCGCTGGGGCGCAGCTTGATATGACCGCAGAGGTCGAACCCTGAACAGTTGGGGCAAGTATGGACACAACATTCAAGCTTGATACAGCACTGAATTTGGATTGTGATTAAATATTTGACACAGCATAGGTTTCTGACACAGAATGAAAGTGGTCTAAGAACTTAAAAATTTTTAATTTACCTATTCAAACCATATCATTTTTATTTGCTTTTATATATAAATCAGAAATAACCAATTTAAAATGGAAAATTTTAAAGAAAAAAAAGGAAAAAAAAATCCCCCCCCCCCCAATTTTTTGAACCCCTTATGATTCATCACCCCCAAACTCAATCCCAGGCTTCCCTTTGTGGTATGGTACCTTGCAGTACAATTTCAGAGAGATCCATACACTTGAACACAAGTTATTGTCTGGAAACTAGAAAAATGCTTATTTTTTGGCCCCTTTTTGGCCCCAAATTCCTAAACGTTTAGGGCAATTACCCCAAAACTCAAACCCAGCTTTCCCTTTGTTATATGGAACCTTGCAGTACAATGTCATAAAGATCCATACACTTACACACAAGTTATTGTCCTGAAACTAGAAAAATGCTTGTTTTTTTGCCCTTTTATGGCCCCTAAATACTAAAATTTTAAGGCAATTACCCCCAAAATCAATCCCAGCCTTCCCTTTGTGGTATGGTACCTTGCAGTACAATTTCAGAGAGATCCATACACTTGAACACAAGTTATTGTCTGGAAACTAGAAAAATGCTTATTTTTGGCCCCTTTTTCCTAAAATTTTTGGGCAATTACCCCCAAACTCAATTCCAGCTTTCCCTTTGTGATATGGAACCTTGTAGTACAATTTCATAAAGATCCATACACTTACACACAAGTTATTGTCATGAAACTAGAAAAATGCTTGTTTTTTGCCCCTTTTTGGCCCCTAATTCCTAAAATTTGGAGGCAATTACCCCCAAAATCAATCCCAGCATTCCCTTTGTGATATGGAACCTTGTGATACAATGTCAGAGAGATCCATAGACTTACACACAAGTTATTGTCATGAAACTAGAAAATTGCTTGTTTTTTGCCCCTTTTTGGCCCCTAATTCCTAAAATTTGGAGGCAATTACCCCCAAACTCAAACCCAGCTTTCCCTTTGTGATATGGAACCTTGCAGTACAATTTCATAAAGATCCATACACTTACACACAAGTTATTGTCCTGAAACTAGAAAAATGCTTGTTTTTTTGCCCTTTTATGGCCCCTAAATACTAAAATTTTAAGGGAATTACCCCCAAAATCAATCCCAGCCTTCCCTTTGTGGTATGGTACCTTGCAGTACAATTTCAGAGAGATCCATACACTTGAACACAAGTTATTGTCTGGAAACTAGAAAAATGCTTATTTTTGGCCCCTTTTTCCTAAAATTTTTGGGCAATTACCCCCAAACTCAATTCCAGCTTTCCCTTTGAGATATGGAACCTTGTAGTACAATTTCATAAAGATCCATACACTTACACACAAGTTATTGTCATGAAACTAGAAAAATGCTTGTTTTTTGCCCCTTTTTGGCCCCTCATTCCTAAAATTTGGAGGCAATTACCCCCAAAATCAATCCCAGCATTCCCTTTGTGATATGGAACCTTGTGATACAATGTCAGAGAGATCCATAGACTTACACACAAGTTATTGTCATGAAACTAGAAAAATGCTTGTTTTTTGCCCCTTTTTTGCCCCTAATTCCTAAAATTTGGAGGCAATTACCCCCAAAATCAATCCCAGCATTCCCTTTGTGATATGGAACCTTGTGGTACAATGTCAGAAAGATCCATACACTTACACACAAGTTATGTCTGGAAGTTACAAAAATGCTTATTTTTGGCCCCTAATTCCTTAACTGTTGGTACCATAACCCCCAAAATCAATCCCCACCTTCCTTTTGTGGTATTGAACCTTATGGTTAAATTTCATTGAGATCCATTAACTTAAACTAAAGTTAGAGTGCGAAAACTAATGTGTCTTCGGATGACGACGCCGGACGACGAAGACGACGACGACGACGCCAACGTCATACCAATATACGACCACAAAAATTTGTTTGCGGTCGTATAAAAAGGAAAAAGCCTGAAGACAAATGACAGCACACAAAAGACACAAAAACAGTTATGAGCGAATATATTTCTAAACACAAGTTTTCGCTCTTACATATCATGATATACTGTATTTACCAGGTAGATTACATTATCTACTAAATAAGCATATACATGATGACTATATCATACGGTGGATTCATTTATTTTCATGAATAATTGTCTGCATACAAGCCTATAAAACATTTATTCTTCATTGAACATTTAAATTAGTTATTCGTTCACATTTACCCTTGAAATCCACAAAAATGGCATTCTGTGAATAACAAGTAAAACTGTGAGCTATTGCTCACTAATGATACCCCCGCGGAAATATTTCGGTAAACAGGAAGATGTTGAGTGATGAATCTGAAAACGCATCACACTGTGAAACTTACTTATATAAACCCTGAAACCAAATTTCAGAAATCCTTGTCAAGTAGTTCCTGAGAAAAATGTGACGAAAATTTTCAACTTGGCTATCATGTGTAAAATAATACAAGTGTTCAGTAAACAGGTAGTTGTTGAGTGATGAATCTGAAAACGCATCACCCGGTGTAACTTACTTATATAAACCCTGAAACCAAATTTCAGAAATCCTTGTCAAGTAGTTCCTGCGAAAAATGCGACAAAAATATTCATGGGACGGACAGACTGACGGATGGACTGACGGAAGGACAGACAGAAGTAAAACAGTATACCCCCACTTTTTTAAAGCGGGGGTATAATAATGAATCCACAGTAGCTTTCAGTAGACTCTGTCTTCCAATCACAGTGAAACAGAACAGTGAAACTGAAGATAAATATGTTTATTTACTAGTAATTGTATAAAGCCAACACAACAGTGATAGCACTACAGTAGATTTTATACCAAATACACATAAAAAAATTTGCACCAACATTCAAAATCATTGCACTTGTACATTCAACTTTGACACAAAAGTTGATTGGTTTTGAAAACACATCAAGGCCAATCTTCTTTCAAAAATCTTTCCCCCTTAACCTCACTTCAAGTGAAACTAATATACCAGTACCTTGAAAATACTAAATTAATATACCAGTACCTTGAAAATACCAAATTAATATACCAGTACCTCAAAAATACTAAATTAATATACCAGTACCTCGAAAATACTAAATTCACATCAAACATGATGATAAATTTCAATGCAACATACAATATTTTATATTTTTGTATCAAAATCAAACTGACTAGCAGGAACAAAGTACAGCAAGCATCCAAGTGATTCAATATCTATTTTCCCCTTAATCTTAAATAGTTACAAAAGCCTGGTTTCTATATAAAACCATTTTTTATAATTGATATATTCTTTAAACTGACTTGTACAATCCATTAAATGTAGAAGCGTAAAATATCAATTATTCAATCATTGTACTCTTTCACCACTAACATTTATCACGTAATGTGAAAAAATGAGCTGACAAAGGTTTTGTTTGCACTTCATTTTGGAAAAAAAAACCTCTGGCAATAGGTAAAAATAAGGTGCACAGGTCATAATTTAAAAATAGTTAGTAAGAGAATAAAAATAGTTAGTAAGAGAGGAAAATTAAGTTATTCCAAACAATACATATGAAAATAAAAAAAAAAACGTTTTATATAGAAACCAGGGATGAAAGTTATTAGCATTGTAGGCCTTTTAAGATTTTCAGTGAAATAAGTCCACCTTTTTTTGTGGTTGTATAAACTGATAGTTAAGTACCGACGCAGAAATTCAGAGTTCAATTTCTATAAGAACATTGTCTTCACTATAAAACATCTTTAATGTTTTGAGTATTTGGTTGTATAAACAATAATGGATAAAAAAAATTGTCATGATTAAAAAAAATGAATGTAAAGCAAAGGAATATGTGTAGTAAGGGCTGCAAATAAACCCCTTTAACTTAAGGATGCATAGGAGGATCCAGCGGGGGGGCCCTGCACCCCCCCCCCCCTTTTGTGGGAAAAATTTGGTTGATTATATAGGGAATCACTGAAGCATGACTGGAGCCCCCCTTAGGTCAGTCAGCGCCCAGATTTTCAGAATCCCCTGGTTTTATCCATTTGAATGCCTTACACATTTTTGCCCATTGACCCCCATTTTTCTTTTTATAAATCTTTACATGTATAATTATAAGCCATCTGTAAAAGTCTCATAAAATCTTTGTTATTTTTAAATAGTTTTTGAGAACTTAAACTTGTCAATGATAAAGCTATGAAACATCAAGAGAGAACATTTTCCCACCAAAATTTCAATGGCTAATATCTCGAAAACAAGCAAATTGACCTATATATATTTTTTGCTTTTTTGGTTCCTTTATTAATGCCCTATCAATATATACTAGTGTTATGAAAAGCTTGTTATTTTGAAACTGAGTAGTGAACCTCCTTAAGTTTCAAAATGAAATCAAAATAAAATATATCCAACCATTACATACAATAACTTTCATTTATTTATTACATAATTGAGTGAAAAATTACTTCCAAGACTAAGTCTAAGGTCATTTTCTATCAACAGTGACAAAAAAAAACATTTTCAGGAACACACCTGCATAAAAGAAAATATTAGAGTAGCCAGAAATCATTTAATTAACACCAGCTGTGTTACCTATAATTAAATGTTAACACAGAGATGTGTCTCGCCTTTTTGTTATTTTGAGAGTAAAATGCATATGTTGAAATTAAAATAGCAATACTTTAACATGTAAGTTATGCAAAATATTCAAAGTCAATGAACCATGACTGAAGGTACAGGGCCAAACAATCTCCATGGAAATGAGATATGCTAATGCTAATACATATGCATACCAAATATCATTGACCTACCACTAGTGGTTCCCCATGAACTGACCTAACACAAACTAATACATGTAAACTAAACAAAAGTTTCAAAGTCAAATAATCTCCATGGAAATGAGATGTGCCAGTGCTAATACAACTGCATGTTAAATATCATTGACCTACCACTAGTGGTTCCCCATAAACTGACCTAATCACAAACTAATACATGTAAACTAAGCAAAAGTTTCAAAATCAATAGACTATGACTGAGGGGGCAGGGTCAAATAATCTCCATGGAAATGAGATGTGCAAGTGCTAATTCAACTGCATACTAAATATCATGGACCTACCACTAGTGGTTCCCCATAAACTGACCTAATCACAAACTAATACATGTAAACTAAGCAAAAGTTTCAAAATCAATAGACTATGACTGAGGGGGCAGGGTCAAATAATCTCCATGGAAATGAGATGTGCAAGTGCTAATTCAACTGCATACTAAATATCATTGACCTACCACTAGTGGTTCCCCATAAACTGACCTAATCACAAACTAATACATGTAAACTAAGCAAAAGTTTCAAAATCAATAGACTATGACTGAGGGGGCAGGGTCAAATAATCTCCATGGAAATGAGATGTGCAAGTGCTAATTCAACTGCATACTAAATATCATGGACCTACCACTAGTGGTTCCCAATAAACTGACCTAATTGCAAACCAATACATTGATGACGACGACACCAACGCTGGAAACAGCATACCTATGTTTCACCTTTTTTTTTACTCCATCAAGGCGAGACAAAAATACTCATTCTGGTAAAATATCATATTTGAACTATATTGTACTCATTGATTCTGATGTTCTTGTTAAATATAATAAATTTCATACAAAATCCTTCAAAACCAACTTTCTGAAGTCATATTCAATGAGTTGACATATTTACATGAATAAAATAATTCAATAACTCATACATGATTTGTTTGAGAGATTACCGTGAATAGGTCTTATCTTTATATTTAACTTTTATCAAGAGCATGACAAGGGTTTTAATTTCTGCAAAAAGGCACTCTCATGGTAACTTTCAAAACTAACTATGGTACATGTATCATGTGATCAATTTGCATGAATTATTTCCATTCCAAATCAGAAAATGTACATACAATTAATATGTATTAATATTGAATGAATGATTTGTAATGTTATTGACTTGTGCTGTTTTTAGCTTCTTAAGTTTTTTTCATTGATTTTTCACAATGTCAAATAAATAAAACTAATCTACGTTTATTTCAACTATAGGAGAATTATGGTTCTGACGAATGATCGCATATATATACACAGAATAAAAAGCTTGGTTGCTTGTTATTCATAGTCCTAATGTAAATAACAGAAGCTTTCCTTCAGGTCAGCTTAAGCACTCACTTTTCTTATCTATTTAAGGCCATAGCTATATATATTCTGCACATGATAAATATACTGACTAATTTAAAATATTGATATTGAAAAAACATAAAATTGGTACACAATTCAAATCTAAATAAACTATTATATGTGATAAATAAGTTATTACATTGCCATTGTGTCCAAAAATCTGCAGCTTGTTAAGACTACATATATGGATGACAGAAACTTCTCTATCGATAAAGCTTAGATGTAAAAGCTAACAACAAGGATTTAAATTCTTTTCTTGTTTTAAAACAGAAAATATAGATTGTGACAATAATTCTACAAGAAAGAACGAAAAACTCCGTCTTTCAAACTAAGTTCAGTGAGAGAGATGAGAAAGGTCCTGGTCATAGTTTTAATATCCAGTGGCAAAAATGTCATGCATATTCAGTTCTGTAAGATGTATCCGCATAATATCAACTGAAACACTTTCCTTGATTATGTATTATTCTAAATATGTGAGCTATTTGGGTCTGAGTTTTTTATAAGTTGAAAGACATAGGAAAACTGATACATAATTTGAAAACTGTATTGCTCCTGAGTGAAAATAAAAGCATTACTTTGGATTTGTAGATGATCATAAAGAAGCTACATTAAAAGCTGCAACATTATTACAACTTTGTTCTGCACAAAAAAACAAAAATCATTTTATCAGATCCTGTTTTCATGCAAGATGGAATAAGATAATAATTAATGATTGAGCTGAACTGCTGTATAGTAGACCATCTTTATTTATATAGATAAGGACTCTTGCCAATGAAAATCAAATTTACTCAATGAATGCTTATTATTCATAACATTGACTGGATGCATAGATGATATAACACTTACTTAACGATCGACTAAGTAAAAACAACCTTAATTCTTTTGTTAATATAATAGCCAACAATACATTAAATACTTATACAGGAATTAATAATAATCAATACTTATACAGGAATTAATAATAATCAATACTTATACAGGAATTAATAATAATCAACTGTGCAATTCATGGAAATAAACTATGGAAGGTTATAAACTTAAGTCCAATTAATTTCTCTGAACAATTTTTGTGGTAATATATGGTAAAATCAATATTGCAAAGGCCATTCAAAGTAATGTTCTGTTTTCCATATCAAGTCTACATCTCTCAAAAAGGGTCTTAACATACACTTTCATACATTTCATACAGTGTTTTTTTTTTTACTTATTTTCCATGGATGGTGCTTAAATCTAGCAATAACATCACATGTGTAAATTTGACATGTGTAAATTTTAGCCAGAAATAGATGATACATGTACTATCTGTTTGTGTATAGCCAATATTTTAGACACACACAAATAGCATAAATTATGTTTATTTCTTAAATTTTATTGGATCTTGCATTGTTTAACTACATTGAAAACAGTAATAATACTATAAATGTATAAATAAATAAAAAAAAATTAAATAACAATACCTAACATAAATCAGTTTCAAAATAAAATAGTTCGAAAAACAGAACATAATGTGTGAATGACTTAATTCTGGTAGAGGGCTATTCCAGGAAAAAATGTAGGAGGGGAAAGAAAAAAACTCTTTTTATACCCAACCACCCATAATTTTTATTTTCATTTGTAAACCGAATTGTATTTGCTTCAACCCTTATTATCCCGAAAAAAATATTATGTGGTCTCCAACCCTCCCATACATTTTTCCTTGAATAGTCCTAAATAAACCCTTGCAAGTTACAGAATATTTCTTTCATGAATTATTTACTTATGTATAGAATACTTTATACTATGATGGTGCTGATGTACATTTATTATCATCTATAGAAAGCAGGGAAGGAATTTTTCTTTTGATCTTTGTAGTGTGGTCTTTGTAACGACACAAAGGATTTCCATAGACATTAATCTTCACTAAACATTTGTTGTTCTCTAGAATATATAAATCTTCTGCACTATTCAATTCTGAAAAGTATAACATGTAGAAATCTATTTGCAATGTTTATATAAATATCAACAAGGATAACAGAATGCTCAGTTTTCTTAAGCTGTAAAAGGGAAATAGCTAGAATTGGTGAATTGGGACTGGCATATGTCCAGTGAACAGTCTTGCAGGAGAGCTCTAAGCTAAGCTCTGAGGGTTTAGCATTTTGTGTAATCACACCTAAACTTCTCCTGACTATGGCCCTACAGTATACAGTAAAATCTAAATTGGAAAAGTCTGTGAACAATAATTCATAAAATCTAAAATGTGAAATGTGAAAAAAAGTTGTCATAATTCTTAATCAGGGTGCCATGTTTCAAGTCAAAAGCCATGACAATTACCCATCTTTTCAAAACAACACAAATGTTAAAGAATCTACGATGACAAGTTCAAAATTTCTCCTTTATAAAACTTCTCTTATAAATGGTTGGAAATTCAATGACAGAGATGCATAATTATTTTATTGTCTATTGATACTTCCCAGCAGTCAATTGATTTGGTTAACATTATTTTACTTGACCTTTCATGCACGAGACCAAAAATAATGCTAATTGGTAAACATTTTTCAACATACATAACTATTATTGAACTTTTGTTATACTGAGAGGCGGGAGACCCTTTCTTGAGAATTATGGAATGAGTCATTTAATTCCATGGAATAGGAATGACCAGTTAAATCGTCAGGATTTAGTTGTAACATGATGCAGGAACAGACTCATTATTTTTCCTGGAATTCTAGATTTGGCACTTTTTTTTCTCGGGAATTCGGGATGAGACCCCTCTAAACTTAATTGTTTGATATGAATACAAGCAGATGTAAGGTGTACGTCAATGAGACAGCAACCATCAACTCAAATGTTAAAATAACCCATCTTAACGTATTTTCTTACCATTTATTTTAACTGATAATTCACATAACTGGTGACAGTGTTGTAATCCATCCAAATCTTTTAAATGGTTGTTATCTAGACATAAACTCTTAAGGCACCTAAGATTTGAAAGTAACCTGACTGTGGACAAAGCATTATTGGAAAGATCAATTGAGGTTAACAGCAACATCCATTCAGTGTGATAAAGTGCAGTAAGTCCTTCATCTTTCAGGGACATTTCTCTGACATTTTTGTCCTGAGTTTCTAGTATACTCTGCAGGATGAATTTGCTTTCTGAAAAAAAGTTGTTTATTACATATGTTATAGTGACATCACATTTTGATACCAGTAAAGTTTGTTGAAAGAATTGGATACTTTGATGTTTCAACTAAATAAAATTCCATTAGCAGTTTCTGATTTTGGTGATAAAGACAATAATGTTTGCTGACCATTTATGTTCAATGGAAAACAGATATCGTGACCTTGACCTTTGACCAAAAAAAATCAACAGGGTCATGTTCTTTCCAAGGGGTATTCTCAAGCTAATGTGAATGTCAGACATGTGGTTAAAAAGATATTAAAATAAATTGGGAATGTGTCCATGGGACACAAATGATGCCCCTGCTTGCATATACCATCATAAAGGGATATAACTCAAGAACGGTAAAAGTAATGCTACCCAAATTCCTACTTGATCTGAGTTTTGTGGTAAAAAGCATTGTGAATAAGTTTTATAACATTTGGTTGAGACAAACTTAAGGTAGAGAACAGAAACGAAACATTCAGAAATATTTCCATTTGTAAAGGGGCATAAAAGTGACGCCACCAAAATTCAATCTTGATCTGTGTATAAGTTGCATAACATTTGGTTGAGGCAAACTAAAGTTAAAGAACGTAAATCAATTTCGGGACGTAGGTACGGACAGACGGACAGATGTACAGACAGACAAGGGTAAAACTTAATGCCCCCTCTGCTACGGCGGGGGCATACAAAAATAAAATTTTGCCCCAATATCAGTTAAATAAAATTGCAGCTATGACCTTGACCTTTGACAGAGTTACCTTATAATTAATATAGGTCTAAGGTGTGTATCTTGCACCTCATTTTATTCATATTTTAATCAAATCACAGTTACTATAACAGGCATTCTAAAATGAACTTTTACATTTTATAAATCTTATTTGGTCATACTGGCTATCATTTTGTATTATAAAAAATCACAAATTAAGAACCATATTAAAACAGCAATTATTGCCAACAATGACTCATTATACATTTTAAAACTATTATCATATAAGGATAGATAGAGAGAAGTGTCATAAAAGCAACAACAAGGTGATGAATTTGGAATGGTGGCTAAATGCCAGTAAAAAACTATACTTATACTTCTAAGTACTAGAATGAGTTATTCAGTCTATAGAGGTACATGTATATTGAAAATGTAATATAAACTGTTATCACAGAGATATGTCTCACCTTTTTGTAATTTTGATAATGCAAATGTTGAAATTAAAATAGCAATACTTTAACATGTAAGTTATGCAAATATTCAAAGTCGATGAACCATGACTGAAGGTACATGGCTAAACAGTCTCAATGGAATGAGATGTGCCAATGCTAATACAACTGCATACCAAATACCATTGACTTATTATAAGTCTTTCCCTTATACAAACCTAAACACAAACATTAACTTGTAAACTATGTAAAATTTTCAAAGTCAATGAACCATGATCAGGGGTGGGGCTATATAATCTCCATGGAAACGATACTTGCAAATGCCAATACATTTGCATACCAAATATCATTGACTTAACATTAGCAGTTCATCTTAAACTGATCTACGGTAATCACAAACTAATACATGTAAACTTAGCAAAAGTTTCAAAGTCAATAGACCATGACTGAGGGGGCGGGGCCAAATATTCTCCATGGAAATGATTTGTGCTAATGCTTATACAACTGAACACCAATTAACATTGGCCTACCACTAATGGTTCTCCTTGAACTGACCTAATCACAAACTTATACATGTTAACTTAGCAAAATTTTCAAAGTCTATAGACCATGACTAAGGGGGCAGAGCCAAATAATCTCCATGGAAATGAGATGTGCCAATACTTAGACAACTGCATACCAAATATCATTGACCTACCACTAGTGGTTCACCATGAACTAGACCTAATCACAAACTTATACATTGTTGACGACGGCACCGCCGCCATCACCGACGCCGAAAAACAGCATACCTTGTCTCGCTTTTTGACTCCATCAAGGCGAGAAAAAAATGGTTAAACAAGAGTGCACACGCTGAAATGTATAGCCTGTTTTACTGACCATTGATTTTATGTTGAAAGTCTTAACGATAAAGGTTTTACTAAAAGTATCACATAAACTTCTTAAAGATCCATGACAATGAGGTCAAGGTCAGATAAAAACTATCACACAGACATGTACACCTTACAATTATTCCATACACCAAATATAGTTGCCCCATTGCTTAGGGTAATCGAAAAACAGACCAAAACACAAAAAACTTAATGTTAACCAATGAACCATGAAAATGAGGTCAAGGTCAGATGACATTGCTAGACAGACATGTACACCTAACATTCATTCCATACACCAATTATAGTTGACCTATTGCTTTTAGTATTTGAAAAAACAGACCAAAAACTCAAAACTTAACATTGACCAATGAACCATGAAAATGAGGTCAAGGTCAGATGACACCAGCCAGAAAGACATGTACACCTCACAATCATTCCATACACCAAATATAGTTGACCTATTGCTTACAGTACTTGAAATGCAGACCAAAACACAAAAAAATAACAATGACCAATGAACCATGAAAATGAGGTTAAGGTCAGATGACGCCGGCTAGACAGACATGTACACCTAACAATCATTCCATAAACAAAATATAGTTGACATATTGCTTATAGTACTAGAAAAACAGACCAAAACACAAAAACTTAACATTGACCAATGAACCATTAAAATGAGGTCAAGGTTAGATGACACCAGCTAGACAGACATATATACCTTACAATCATTCCATACACCAACTATAGTTGACCTACTGCTTACAGTACTTGAAAAACAGACTAAAACACAAAAAATTAACAATGACAAATGAACCATGAAAATGAGGTCAAGGTCAGATGAAACCTGCCAGTCTGACATGTACCCCTTACAATCGTTCCATACACCACATATAGTTGACCTGCTGCTTGTAGTATCTGAGAAACGAACCTAATCACGTAACTTTAACCTTGATCACTGATCCATGAATTGAGGTCGAGGTCAGGTTAACCCTGTCTGACAGACATGTAGACGTTGCAAGGAACCCATATAACAAATATAGTCATCCTATTACTCGTAACAAGTGAGAAATTCACATGACCAAAAAACTGTAATTTTTTTTCAAGCAGTCACTAAACCATGAAAATGAGGTCAAGGACAATGGGCATATGACAGACGGAAACTTCATAACATAAGGTATGTGTATACAAGGTATGAAGCATCCAGGTCTTCTACCTTCTGAAATATAAAGCTTTATACAAATAGTTTAGTAATACCTATGTCTTGCATACTGCGACAAAGTCGCAGGCGAGACAAAAACAGTCTGTGAACATCTTACTTGTATCTCTGTAATAAGCCTCTCTCTTGAGATCAACTTGTATCAATTGGTCTATGCATTCTCTTATTTCTAACTTGTACATGGAATGTGTTCTATCTATAGCCATCATCAGTGAAAACATTGTAAGAAGTACCCCTGTAAAATTTATTAAAGGATTAAATTGGCGTTTTTAGAATTCATCAAATTGAATGTGTAAAATGGGCAAATTAACTAATAAACAGAATTTTGAAAAAGGATTGGCTTAATTCATAAACTGATAAAAAATCCTGAAAAATAATGTTAAAGTCTCCTCTTCCACCAACAAGCATAATAATAGATAAAAATAACATAAACCACTTCAAACCACTTACTAATCTAAGTTTTTGACACAAATGATTTCTTGAAAAGAATCAATTTCATTTAAATCATTACAGAAGATTTTCCAAAAGCTTCAATATTTTGTTTTAAAGCACATGTAACAGTCTAAACATAATTGACCACTTGCTAATCCAGTTAAAAGTGGTAAACTCTTGAATGGTTTTTGTTGTAAATTTGACTAAACAAAAGCAGAAAACTTATACCTACATTTATTATCTGGTTCTACACCGTGTAATTCTTTAATGGATTCTAATTCAGTTTCTAACGTTGAACTTGTAGCAGCACTCAATTCATTACTGTAAAAAAATTATGTTTTAAATTTTGTTTAAGAAATAATTGTTTTATGCCATACTCTTTGCTCATTTTAACATGGGAATGCATTATATTTGTCAATATCTTTATGAAGAGCGTAAGTGAGGTGTAAAATTTTGACAAATATAATGCCTATCCGTGTTAAAATGACCATATAGCATAGCATCATAGAATTATTTTGATTTCAATAGGATCTTTTGTACTGTACTTCTAAGCTGACCTATAACTGACATTGCAATTTTATTTGTAACATCAATCATGTGCACACCATGTTCTTTTGGAATAAGAACATAGATTTGTTTACAATGCAAAAGAAGAATGTCATATTAAAAGGCTCTTTTTAAACCTCTCAAACTCACAAAAGATGATTTTTTTCAATAGATTTTACAACCAAATCATCTTTTATTTCACATTTGAATGTTCCAAAATTAATCAAAGTCTTATACATGTACATTCCAGGGTCATTTGTCTCAGAGGCCAGAGGCAGACAATACAACTATCTAACACTATGTAATTTATTATCTGAAAAGGATGAGTCTTCTCAAATATAAATTTCTTGAATAATAACTGAATTTATGAGTTATCAGGGTTTTCATGTTCTTTTCAGTTTCTTAGCAGGCACCTTGTTAGTGGTGGTATTTTTGTTTCTGATGTGACAGACTTTGATAAATTATAGTCGTAGCTGATGTGTATTGTGAATGCACTGTAATATATAACCGCTTCAGATTATTGTAAAAGACAAAAATATGCACTCTGACTACTTTACATAATAACTTACATAAAAGGCCATGGTGTCTTATTTGGCCTAATTTTTCACTGAAATTTGAACTTAATTCAAGATTAACATTTAAGAGTATTTAAAAGTTGTGGAAATGCAAAAATGAAATTAAGAAGTAAAGGATCTGTCATGTCACAAAAAATACAGGTTTGATATCATATAAAGCTATTTCTACATGCTCAATTTGATTTAAAAGGAATCCAATGTATAGGCTTCACTTACAAGGATCTGTTTAATTACTATCGTGAAAGCTTTTTCAGAATCCTCAGATTTTGTCGTAATGATACACACCTTTAAAAATTGTTTAGTTGACATAATTATTATCAAAACAAAAAGTAGAAAGTAACATTGACACATCCTTGCAACCAAAGCATTGACATGTGATTTGTATTTCAAGCAGATTGCTACACCTTTTGATGTAAAATACATATATTTTGGTCATTATTCAAATGATTTTGGGAAACACAAATATAAAGTGCATGGCAGCACCAACTTGATAATTTACCATGCTGTTTGTTTGTATGAACATCACCTTTCATGTCAACATTTTAATAGTAGGTATCTGCACATGATCTATATTACACACTCATAAATATAAGTTAAAATTTAGCATTTTTGTAATTTTTTGTACTTCTATTTTGTTTCAACTCTGCAAGTACCTGCACATGATCTATATTGCACACTCACAAATACAAGTCAAAATTTTGCATTTTTGTAATTTTTTTGTATTTCTGTTTTGTTTCAACTGTTGAATCTTGGTGTTGGATGATTACGTTTCAAAGACCTTACTGTTTTAACTTAGCACATAGGTAGCAATTATTTTTAACAAAAAATAGCATAAAGTTGTAATACTTTAATTTTAGGCAAAATAGAGCCATGCAAAGTCTGTAACTGTCTGAAAATTGAGTTGTTATAAGAACCTTACAAAACAGATCAAAATTCAGCTTTTATTTCATATCTGTATGTTCCAAAATCAATCAAAGTCTTATACCTGTACATGTACTTGTAAAAGGTCGGTTTCTATCCAACGCAGCTCACATGTTAATGCTGGAATATCAAATTTTGACAAAAAAATAGTCCTAGTGTATAAAAAATGTATAGACTAAAGTTAAATATTTTTCAAACAATATGAAAAAAATAATTGGATATACCTAAAGCGTGATCCTGATTTAAAGTCTGCCATTACCCAAGCCTCTTCTTGGTCTGCATCTATCTGTAGTCCTTGAGAAAACTGGGTATCTTTATCTATATCAGGTATTAGTGTTACTGATACAGAAACCTCTTTCTCTTCTGGTATACTTTCTGTTAAATCTTTTATCTATAAAACATATAAAAATAATTCAAAGGGATATTCCCTCTTAAAATCATATCATTAAAGAATAAAATAACTAATAAAATGTTTAAAAAAAAAATATGCCAAAATGACTTCTTCATTAAGAATTACACAATTTTTTCTTAATAACTAAATAAATCATGTTTGAATGTGAAATCAGTAACTATGCACTGAACAAACATCTATAATAAACTAAGCTGTGATGGTACATTTCTACAGTTAAAGTTTAATATTCAGACAACAATAAAATTGTAAATCTTTCATGGAATTTTACGAAATTTCTTCATGATAAAAAGACAATATCAAGAGCAAAATTCTGAAAATATATTATTCATTTTTTGGTATTTTACTGATAAATGAACTAATATAAAAATAAGGAGATGTGGTAAGATTGCCAATGAGACAACTATCCACCAAAAGTCCAAATGATGTGGAAATAACCAATTATAGGCAACCATACAGCCTTCAATATTTAGAAAAACCCATACCGTATAGTCGCCTATAAAAGGCTTTGACATGAAAAATATGAAACAATTCAATAGGGAAAACTAAAACCCTAATTTATAACAAAACAATTTACCAAAAAAATATGCCAGACATGAACCAATGATAACCACTGAACTACAGGCTACTGACTTGGGATGGCACATAAAGAATGTGGTGGGGTTAAACATGTTTGAAGGCATCAACCAACCCCTCAAACTGGGACAGTGGTGAAGCGGCACAATATAAGAACAAACTATGCAAAACAATAAACGAAAAACAAATATGAGAAACAGCAAAAAACGTCAACCACTCAATTAAAAGCTCCTGTAGATTTAGCAGCTAACATTTAGATACAGTCTAGGGTTAATGTTTTTTTTAGATACAATTACTTTGTCAAACCTTAAAAGAGTTTTTTGAAATTTATAGGATTAAGAGATAATGTCTGAAGCAAAATTTTCAAAATATCTTTTTTTCCTTTTTCTGTTTTCACAATAAATTCACTATTTTTTATTTTGCAGTAAACATTCTAGGATTAAATTTTTTTTATGTCATTCCTTTTGTCAAACCTTTATGGAATGTTATGAAACTTAGACAGAAGCTTATTAAAAAATTTTAAATATGGTATCTGAAGAAAAAATTCAAATAATTTTGAATTGCTTCATATATTACTGATAAATGGACTTTTCAGCAGTCAGCATTATACTTTAACACTGACAGCAGCAAGCACAGGTAAGACTCAGGGCTCATCAGAACTCTGTTCAAATTTCATTAAGTTCTTCTGTTGATTGTCTTTTTATCTGACACAAATTGATTTGATTGCAACAGACTGTTTGCATGTATAGTTGGAGGTATAAACATGGACATGATTGTGTTATATCTCATCTTACTATTTTTAATATGTACCACCTTTGATAAGTATTTAGTATGACGAAAACATTTTCACTTCTGTACTCATACTATATAGGTAGCTATGAATAACACATTTATTTTGTAAAAAATGTTTCTGTACTCATTTTTTGTCTTTTTATGTTGTAATGTTATACCACTGTTTCAGGTTAGGGTGAAGGTTGGCGCCTGTTAAAACATTTAAACCCGCTGCATTTTTATGCACCTGTCCTAAGTCAGGAGCCTGTTGTTCAGTGGTTGTCGTTTGTTGGTGTGGTTCATAAGTATTTCTTGTTTCTTGTTTTTTATATAGATTAGACCGTTGGTTTTCCTGTTTGAATTGTTTTACACTAGTCTTTTTGGGGCCCTTTATAGCTTGCTGTTCGGTGTGAGCCAAGGCTCCATGTTGAAGGCCGTACTTTGACCTATAATTGTTTACATTTTACACAATGTTACTTGGATGGATAGTTGTCTCATTGGCACTTTTACCACATCTTCCTATTTATATGCGTAGGTCATATACCTCAGTTAGTGAGAAAATGATAAACCAAAAACCTAATTACCCATAGTACACTAAATGAAGAACTTCCTGTTGGGGTTTTCCATTGTCCGGCTACAGATTTTCCATGTATACTTAGTATTAAACTGTTCCCTCTTCCAACCTATTCAAAAGATAGTTCAATATGTTAAATGATACCATATCTATTTTTGCATTTGATCATATTTATCAAATTTTTTGAGAGCTACATATCAAACTAAAGAATCTGAAAAACGAAATTCCTCATGTGAATGTTAACAGCTTAAATCCTAAAACAATCAATAATGAGTTTATCAGCTACAAGAATACATTGATACTGAATGGTCATCCTAAAAACATTAAAATATTCTTTGTGTATCAGCTGTGTAATTCTTCTTCTGGGGGTTTTAGTCACACTATAGCAACCATAGACAGATTAAATAAACCCATACTAAAAAAACTAAAACTAATTACCACTTAAAATTACTATTATTAAATAAATCACACATATTTTCATTTTTTAAATGATACTCCATATTTAAATCATGAACAACTGCAAAAAAAGGCCCTATAAATTCCATGAAAAGATAGAGTAAATCTTGGGTCTTGTTCAGCTTTGAAATCACTAATCACAAAAATAAAGAATTGTATAATACCATTACTAATCATACATTTACTTCAGAAGAAAGAATTTCAGAAAATGATAATAATACCTTAGCCTTGCTTATGCAGTCTGACTGTGTCATCATAAGGGTGATGAATTTAATTTAATTCTTTATTTATATTAAGAGGATTGCCAGCAGCAGTGGTTATGTATGGGTCTCCTCAATATAAATATACAGATTCACAATTTAACAAAGTTGTTTACAAACATGCATGTGTTAAATACATGAAATTCATGATGATGAAAAGTTTAGGAACAAGTACAATAAAATGCTCCGCTGGGCGCAGCTTGATACGACCGCAGAGGTCGAACCCTGAACAGTTGGGGCAAGTATGGACACAACATTCAAGCTTGATACAGCACTGAATTTGGATTGTGATTAGATATTTGACACAGCATAGGTTTCTGACACAGAATGAATGTGGTCTAAGAACTTAAAAAAAATTTAATTTACCTATTCAAACCATATCATTATTATTTGCTTCTATATATAAATCAGAAATAACCAATTTAAAATGGAAAATTTTAAAGAAAAAAAAATCCCTCCCCAAAATTTTTTGAACCCCCTTATGATTCATCACCCCAAACTCAATCCCAGCCTTCCCTTTGTGGTACGGTACCTTGCAGTACAATTTCAGAGAGATCCATACACTTGAACACAAGTTATTGTCTTGAAACTAGAAAAATGCTTGTTTTAAGGCCCCTTTTTAGTCCCCAAATTCCTAAACGTTTAGGGCAATTACCCCCAAACTCAATTCCAGCTTTCCCTTTGTGATATGGAACCTTGTAGTACAAATTCAGAAATATCCATACACTTACACACAAGTTATTGTCATGAAACTAGAAAAATGCTTGTTTTTGCCCCTTTTTTGGCCCCTAATTCCTAAAATTTTGTAAAAGTAAAATGAGGAAAAAATGGATTTATTTTTTTAAAAAATTTACTTCTGGATACTATCTTATGATCATAAACAAGCTTCTGTCCAAGTTTGGTACAAACCCAGTATAGTTTAAGAAAGTTATTTAAATTCTAAAAACTTTAACCACAGAGTGAATGTAATATTTCCCGGCAGAAAAACTAAGTCCATTTATAAGTAAAATACGGAAAATATGGAATTTTATTTTTACAAAATTTACTTCTGGATACTATCTTATGATCATAAACAAGCTTCTGTCCAAGTTTGGTAGAAATCCAGGATAGTTTAAGAAAGTTATTAAAATTTCAAAAACTTTAACCACAGAGTGAATATTTGTGGACGCCGCCGACAACGACGACGACGCCGACGGAATGTAGGAACGCTATGTCTCGCTTTTTCGACTAAAGTCGAAGGCTCGACAAAAATGCTTACTTTTGGCCCCTAATTCCTTAACTGTTTGTAACAATAACCCCCAACCTTCCTTTTGTGGTATTGAACCTTATGGTAAAATTTCATAGAGATCCATTCACTTAAACTAAAGTTAGAGTGCGAAAACCAATGTGTCTTCGGACGACGACAATGACGGCCACACCACCGTCATACCAATATACGACCGCAAAATTTTTTTGAGGCCGTATAAAAATAATAATTAAGAAGTAATTGAACCATCTAGAAAACCTATGTGAAGATTTAATATACCGAAAAACAAAATCAAACAGCTCTAAAATAATACGCATCACCAGGCAAATAGTCCCTACCTTCTTATAAATAACAGTGATATAGTCAAATCCTGACAAATCAGATAGATTCTTAATACCAAGTAGAAGGGTAAAAAAAAAAAAAGAAAATTACATATTCAAGAATGTAAGTACTGGTATTGGTTTTTAGATGATATATGACATAGTTAAATTCAATAAGCACTAGATGTAGGCCATCCTGGTCACACTCCTTTATTCCATATTTATAACACATTATACATCAGATGGACATAATGAATGAAAGGCATTTTTGTGATCTATTGTATCAAACAAGGCAGAAAAACACATTGTGTCAAGTAGTTAATAATTTACTATATCAAAGATATAGGAAGATTGGTATGAGTGCCAATGAGACAACTCTCCATCCAAGTTACAATATATAAAAGTAAACCATTATAGGTCAAGGTACGACCTTCATGTCCATATATGATGCAGTCCGGTAAATCCGCCCACATAAGGCTTTAACCATATGTATTTCTGCTTAATTATATACAAATTGTATCAAATTTAACATAAATTAATTCACTGACAAATCAATTTCGAGTAGTTTATCTAATTTCCCAAAAAATATCTGAAATAAATTTTAAAATCAACAAAGTGGGTCATTTGTGTTTTTATCGGAAATGTGTTTGTCCGGTAAATCCACCCATGTGCAGTAAATATGTATGAAGGGCCAGTTGATCACATATTTATGAAAGGATAAGGTGATCTATTAATAGACCACTTATAAAAGGATTTCAGACAATTGAAAAATAAAGAAATTTCAAGTCAGAAATAAGTTTTGAAAGCAATAATATGATTATCGTTAGCTTCAGGAACTGTTTTATATATATCACTAGATATTTTGGTAATAAAGGATTTTTCTTTAAGATTGGACATGCAGTGATGATAAGTTCAGTTCCTATGAGTAAAATAGAGGACCAAATATTCACGGAAGTGACAATTACTGAAGTAAATGGGAGTGGGTGGGTTTACTGGACGGGTGGAATTACTGGACACTACTGTACTAATGATGTTGTACTTGACATATTACTGTTTGCATGACACACGGACTTACCATAATTGGTCTTGTTAATAACACAGTTATTTGTTTTGTCTTTCTGGAAGCATGAATACAACTTATCTGCTGCTTTTTCTTGCCTGTAAATAATAATAAAAAGATATCATTCAAGATCCAATTGGTATTCAAAGTACATATAAAAGAGTCACTTTTTATTTAAAGTTCATGTCTCATTCAATGTATTGGGCTAGAGCTATGCTGAATTTGAGAAATTGTCAAAGTCTGATGCAACTACTAATGTCTTCTTCAAAGGGATTAAAGTAAGGTGAACTTAATCCATTTTCAACTGATTTTTATAGTTCCTTCTTATGTTGTGCTTTAATACCACTGTCCCAGGTTAGGGGGAGGGTTGAGTGCTCACAAACATGTTTAACCCCGCCACATTCTTTATGTGCCTGACCCAAGTCAGGAGCCTGTAGTTCAGTGGTTGTCGTTGGTTCATGTCCGTCATATTTGCTTTTCGTAAATTGTTTTGTTATAAATTAGGCTGTTAGTTTTCTCAATTGAATTGTTTCATATTTTTCATGTCAGGGCCTTTTATAGCCGACTATACAGTATGGGTTTTTCTCATTGTTGAAGGCCGTATGGTTGCCTATAATTACATCCACGTCATTTGAACTTGGATGGATAGTTGTCTTATTGGCAATCATACCACATCTCCTTATTTTTATATTAATACAATAGATTTCAAAAAAATCACTATGCTTTGTTTATACTACATTCTGTGAAGCCAAATGAGAGTGCTATTAATTCAATTTAATTAATCAAAACATATTGTTTCAATTTATGCTTATTCCAAAATACTGCTTACCAGAATTTTCAATGATGCACTATTATAGTTTAAAACCAATAAGTTGAAAAAAGGCAGGCCCAAATAATCTAGCTTACTCTACAGTAAGGGTATTGCTCATTATTGAAGGCTGTATGTCCCATTGGCACTGATACCACATCTCTTCATTTCTATATTGTAACCTAGACCACATGAGAAAATCATATAACACAGATGGGAAATTAAATCTGATTGTTCAAGCAATGACACTCAATTAAATGGTGTTCAAGATATAAATTTTGAATGTACTATTACCAGAATAATGTGTGTATTTTGTTGCATTTTGCAGTGCACATATCAAAGCTAACTGCTTCTTCCATAAAACTATATATTTGGCATAACACACCTCTGCCTAAAAGCCATCTGTGATAAAACCAAGCACTTTGGTCATCAGGATCTGTGAATACTGCATTTTGAACTATTTCAAATTCTAAAATTAAATAGAAATAAATATTCAAATATGTTTTTTCACACAAAAATGTGTTTATACCAATCTACTTCCTGTCTTTTTTTTACAGAGTAATTAACAAAAAGGTGGCATGTATCTTTCTTCATGGTATCTAAATCATATACTTTTACATTGTGGCCTTAAGCCTATGCATGCCATCACCTATCTCAGAAAGGAAATATTTTTTGTGTCTGTTATAAAATAGCAAGACATATCATATAAAATACTAAATTGACTTACCAATATCTCACATTATTTTTGTAATGAACCCAATGTTACCTCAAAGTCGGGATTTTTTTTGTTTTTCAATGATGGCAGACCTTTGTTTCTGTTGAGAGAGCAGCACAACAACTGTCAAAAAAGGACAGTTGTTGAAATTATTCATAACTGGATAATATATATCTTGGCATAAGGTATGTATAATCATTTACAATCGAAGAGTATATGTATATCTACCTAACACATCCTTTAATTCATAATAATTACCTGTTTATCACTTTTTATATCTTTTTAAAATAACTTTTATCAATGACCTCATTTTCATAAAATACCTTTTAAAATGACATCTTCTTGTACCCATGCTGGTTGTGTAGGATCAGGATGTAACATGGGTAAAAGTTTACTTCTGTAATGCCAGGATGAATAGTTAGAGAAATTTGTGGTTATCTTTTGTGTAGTAAAACCTAATTCATCATCCAGGCTAACTTCTGCCATCATTACAACGAAACGTCTGTAATCCCAACAATGGACTGGAAAAGAATATAATAATGTCTCATGTTATATGCATGATCAGTGAACTGTTTTCAAAATTATCAAAGCCACCATGTCACTGATGTTTTAATTTGTCCAATGAACTTACTAAGTATAGCCTGTTTGTTTAGTACAGTAAGGTTTGCTCATGTGGAAATAAGTTTCAGATAAATAATGATTGTTTTTATATTGAGATGTGCACATGTGAAGATAATTTTCAGACCAATTATGGTTGAACACAGTGATGTATAATTGAAATTAACTCATCCTCTTCATTTGAATTTTGGTGGATAGTTGTCTCATTGGCAATCATGTGCTGATTTAATAAGAAAAGCCCTTTTCAAATGATTTTCATAGTTCATTCTTATGTTGCGCTGTTACATCACTATCCCAGGTTATGGAAATGTTTAATGCTCACAAATATGTTTGATCTTGTCGTATTCTGTATGTGCTGGTTTGAAGTCAGGAGCTTGTAATTCAGTGGTATTTCGTTGGTTGCTGTCTGCCATATTTATTTTTCCTTTAGCATTTTCAGCATAAATCAGCAGGTTATTAGTTTTCTCTTTTTAATTGTTTCCCAATTTGTCATGCCTTTTATAGGTCACTATATGATATGAGTTTTGCTCATTGTTGAAGGCTGTACAGTGCCCTATAGTTGTTTACACACTCATCATTTGGTCTTTGGTAAATAATTGTCTCAATGGCTTATTATTTATATTCTCCTTATCTATATATGCAATTTACCTATGTTTCTTATAGCACTAATATGAAATAAAATATAAGTTATATATTTACTTACAGTTTCTTTCATCATAATCTAAGAAAGTATTGCACAGTTGTAATTCTCTATCCCAGTCTGGTTTAGGCATGTTCTCCATAATAAAAGTTCTGTGGTGCCAGGTACCATAGGATTTAGGATTTACCTTTAAACAACTCTCCAGAAAATATAATTCACTATCCATTATCTTCTGAACCTCATCTGTTTCTCTGTAGGAACATTTGTAAATATAGTAAAATTACTTATACAAAACAGAGATCCACTTTTGAAGGAATTGTATGTGAATTAGAGAAGAACTCGTCTGTTTAATAAATACCTATGTTTTATATATCAAATTGATCTGTTCAATATGTGGTATAATTAACAAATGTCTCTTGCAAGCATATCAATAAATGACCCTAGCGCTCTCCATCTGTTAATAAAATTACAAAATAAAATGCTCCGCTGGGGCCCAGCTTGATACGACCGCAGAGGTCGAACCCTGAACAGTTGGGGCAAGTATGGACACAACATTCAAGCTTGATACAGCACTGAATTTGGATTGTAATTAAATATTTGACACAGCATAGGTTTCTCACACAAAATGAAAGTGGTCTAAGAACTTAAAAATTTTTAATTTACCTATTCAAACCATATCATTATTATTTGCTTTTATATATAAATCAGAAATAACCAATTTAAAATGGAAAATTTTAAAGAAAAAAAGGAAAAAAAAATCCCCCCCCAATTTTTTGAACCCCCTTATGATTTATCACCCCCAAACTCAATCCCAGCTTTCCCTTTGTGGTATGGTACCTTGCAGTACAATTTCAGAGAGATCCATACACTTGAACACAAGTTATTATCTGGAAACTAGAAAAATGCTTGTTTTTTGGCCCCTTTTTGGCCCCAAATTCCTAAACGTTTAGGGCAATTACCCCCAAACTCAAACCCAGCTTTCCCTTTGTGATATGGAACCTTGCAGTACAATTTCATAAAGATCCATACACTTACACACAAGTTATTGTCCTGAAACTAGAAAAATGCTTATTTTTGGCCCCTTATTCCTAAACATTTTGGGCAATTACCCCCAAACTCAATTCCAGCTTTCCCTTTGTGATATTGAACCTTGTAGTACAATGTCAGAGAGATCCATACACTTACACACAAGTTATTGTCATGAAACTAGAAAAATGCTTATTTTTTGCCCCTTTTTGGCCCCTAATTCCTAAAATTTGGAGGCAATTACCCCCAAAATCAATCCCAGCATTCCCTTTGTGATGTGCAACCTTGTGGTACAATGTCAGAGAGATCCATACACTTACACACAAGTTATGTCTGGAAGTTACAAAAATGCTTATTTTTGGCCCCTTTTTCCTTAACTGTGGGTACCATAACCCCCAAAATCAATCCCCACCTTCCTTTTGTGGTATTGAACCTTATGGTAAAATTTCATTGAGATCCATTTACTTAAACTAAAGTTAGAGTGCGAAAACTAATGTGTCTTCGGACGACGACGACGACGACGACGATGCCAACATCATACCAATATACGACCACATAAATTTTTTTGCGGTCGTATAAAAACGGCAAAAAGTGATGCAATCAAGGAAAAGAGAGAGTTTACTGTTAAATGTTAAATGTTAAATGTGTCAAGTGATTATATTTACTAAAATGGGGGCGTACAAGTTACTCTGAGAGAGAGAAAATAGGATGACTTTGTTTAAGGTTATCATGAAATTATAAATGGAAAAGATTCTAATATAATGTTCATAGACCAAGACTGTAATATTGTATGTACAATGTATTGTGAATTTAGGAAAACTATCATTCATTTCAGGAAATTTAATCATTAAAATAGCAAAACTATAAATGATTTCCATGGGATTATGCTTAATATACCTAGTTTGAAGAAAATGAACAAATATTTCTTTTCTAAAGTTCCATAGTGTATAGAAGTCAGGGTTAACAGCAAGAATTTCTCCTGTTATCTTCAAGCCCTCTTCATCATATTCTCCATTTCCTCTCTGTAATTATATAATCAATTCTTTAAATATACTTTTTTTTTCAGGCTTAGATTATACATACACATTTTGTTGAAGCATAAATAAGTTACAAATCAGTTATCAAAATTAAAGGAAAGAAAACTAGTATGTTTGGCATATATACTGTAAATTCAGAAATTATTGTGAGGTTTTCATTAATGCAAATAATGCGACTGAGTGACTATTGTAATAATACCTGTATGCAGATTTTCCTGATATCGCAATAATAAATCTCACATTTTTGTCCATCCTTGAAAATTCACAATAATAAATGCACGCAATAATTTCTGAATTTACAGTAATCACCATAAAGAATGGCCCCTACTGATTTTCAAGATTAGAAGTCAAAATTCAAGCTGAAAAAATTAGAGATGAATAAGTTAAAACAGTGTTGGAACATCACAAGGTTTCCATTATGTAAGTGGCTTGTGAAAATTACACAATACAACTTAATACAACATTCAACTATTACAACTGCATCCAATAAATTAAAAAAATCTAACAAAACTTTATCTTTTTTACTTCTGTTTTAGTGGAGTCTTTTTAAGTTTAAATTACCTTACAGTGTGATTCAATGTCTGTTGTTGAAGATTTAACATTGGATGACCAGTAGATATTGTATAATGGTTTTTGGTTGATACTTTTCTCATAAGTAATTGTACCAAATCTCTTAATCTCAAATTGTATAAACATAATGAAACTGTCCTAATAACTTGCAGTCTTCTTTACATGTATTTCTAACCTTTTTAAATGCAGCTTTAGTGCCAGCATTGTAAAGTTTCAACTTTTTCTCTCTTTCTTTTCTCTTTGCTTCCTGCTGTTCTGCTGTAGTTTTGACCTTTATTCTTCCATGCTAAAAACATTAAAACATAATTATTCTAAATAACGTACACTCAATGATTGATTGTTGGTTGCTTAACATCCAGTGGTAAATATTTCATGCATGTTCAATGATTGAAAAAAAGAGATCATATTGTAACCCCTGTCTAATTAGCATGTACATAATTTTTAATGAAACTTGAGACTACTTATTAATGACCTAATGGCATGATAAAGTGAGAAAAGGAAACAAATTAAGAAAATTTGATTTACTAAAAAAAAAAAACATGAGGATAAAGTCAGACAATCATGTACACTTTTCAACATATTTAGTAATATTGCATTGGGAGAAACAAAATCAAAGGGGCATGAAAAATATAGCTTAAACTATCAATCTTTTTATAAAACCACTTTTAAATTCATAAAACTTTTCAGAAATTTAAGTAAGAAGTCATTGAACCTTTCCCCCCACTATTTCAAAGAATTTCTATAGAGATCCTGCATATCTAACAAACAAAAAATACACTAATCAAGTATCAGCTGAAATAAATTGGTTTTTTCTCATAAAAACAAGTTTCATAAAAAATTGTGTTATTGTAGAAATTAAACAAAAAATACCATACTGAATTCCAAAGAAATGTATTCGAACATTAATTAGCCGAACATTGTTTCAATTAATTAAGAACCCCAAATAATTGATAGGACAAAAAATTATATATGGATCATTGTTCAGCTCAAGTTTATAAATAGAAGTTACTAATCTTCAATAAGGTATGTAACTTCTGTAAATAAATCTGACCAGAATTATATAATGATTATAAATTGTATCTTTGTTTATGACCAATCATAATGATTCATTTTGTCAGGTGTTAGATTCTAGGTTACCTTTGATATGTTTACTTAATACATGCACTATGATAACTGATAATTGTGAATCAGTTGTCAATGTTCTCATATCATATAAATAAAAGAAGATGATGGGTGTATGTCAATGAGAGGGCAGCCAAACAACATTTAATTAATGTGTTATCATAACTTAGATGATGTCACCCATTCTTACAAGGAGATAGATCCTGGCAATCTTTAGAATAAAAACAAAATAAAATGTAAAAAATAGGTATTTAACTTTTATACATTTTAAGATAAATCAATATGGGAAATTTCATAAAATACAATGCTATTTGTATAGAATGCAAGTTAAAATTGTTACCATCTAGATATATCACTATAACTTAACTTCTTATTTCATCTATACTTTTCTGTGATATGTAACTAGATATAAGAAGATGTGGTATGGGTGCCAATGAGACAAATCTCCATCCAAGTCACAATTTGTAAAAGTAAACCATTATAGGTCTAAGTATGGCCTTCAACACGGAGCCTTGGCTCACACCAAACAGCAAGCTAAAAAGGGCCCCAAAATGACTAGTGTAAAACAATTCAAACAGGAAAACCAACGATCTAATCGATATAAAAAACGAGAAATGAGAACCACATCAACAAACAACAACCACTGAACAACAGGTTCCTGACTTAGGATATGTATGTTTTAGTTTATGATTCTGAAATTTGCTTTGTTATAAATTTCTCTTTTATTATCTGAAGATATGTTCAAGTTAAGAACATGAATAAAAGAGATATGAGATTCGTTTTACTGAGAAAGCATCCCAAAAGCACAAAATAATCCAAAAAATAAACTTCTAATAATCATTTACATTTTGTGTTGTTGAAGTAAAAACATGAAAAGGGATTTTTTACTGCACAATACTAACATAACTTTATCCTAATTTAGATGTCTTTTTATACTACCTATATTGTGTACCCTGAACATTCTTGTAAATCTTCATGCATTTAGTAACTTTTAACTTGTGATTTTTTGCCAAGGTTAGTGTTTTTGAATTCTAACTTTTTTTAAATCTAAAATTACTATTAAGTTCCAAGAAACATTTGCATTCTAGCTAACAAACAAGATATCACTTTGTTTTTATCATTATTTGTCACATGTTTATCAGACTCAGGTTGATGCAGGTAAGTTTGATACAAATTAAAGGTCATTTTCTGGAACAAAACCAGATAAATCTATCATCTATCTGTATGTCCACCTATGTTAGATAATTATCTAACAACTACATCATGTACATGTATAGATACATGAGTCACTGATAACCTGAATACAGCCCTAAATATAAACTATCTATCTAGACTAACTTCATTCTTTCTTACTTGTCTTACAAAGCATAACCTTAATTACAAAATACAGATCATGCGGGAGATAGTACACTTACAAGCAGGCCAATGTGGAAACCAAATTGGTGCCAAATTTTGGGAGGTCATTTCTGGTGAGCATGGAATTGACCCAACTGGATCCTATCATGGAGACAATCCTAACCAGTTAGAAAGAATAGAGGTGTACTACAATGAAGCCATGGGTGGCAAGTATGTACCAAGAGCCTGTATGGTGGACCTGGAGCCAGGAACTATGGATGCTGTCAGAAGTGGTCCCTTTGGACAAGTTTTCCGTCCAGATAACTTTGTGTTTGGTCAGAGTGGTGCAGGAAACAATTGGGCTAAAGGACATTATACAGAGGGAGCAGAGTTGGTGGAATCTGTAATCGATGTTGTCAGGAAGGAGTCTGAAAGCTGTGATTGTCTTCAAGGATTCCAATTAACACATTCAATTGGTGGTGGGACAGGATCTGGTATGGGGACATTAATTGTAGGAAAGATCAGAGAGGAATACCCTGACAGAATAATGAAAACATACACAGTTGTTCCTTCACCAAAGGTAAATAATTTCAGTCTAGCAGATGTCATCAGTTATAGAAAACAGTAGTTTCACCCAGCCCAATTTTCATGTAAATGTTCCATGTTATGAACCAGTTCAAAACTTGTTCTATGTAATATCTAAATGTTTTAGTTATTTTAGAATTGTGTGTTAATGGAAGATCTTTGATTGTTTCTGTTCATTCAAAACTTTAATAGACTCTGGGCAGTTTTGAGCTTGACATAATGTATGGACACATGTCAGTTGTTGAAGCCTGTATGTTGCCGTCTGGATGTCTTTTAAATGTTTTTTTTTTATTGGGTTACTGCCTCACTGAATTAAACCCCAAATTTAATTTTCCTTATTTGTTAATCACCCTTTATGAATTGATGAAACTTCAAATTTTGCTCTTTTTAGTGTGTACTTTTAACTTGAGAAGGGAGTGCATAAGTACAGGTAGGCCAGTTAGTACTGAAAACAAAAAGAACAAAGTGAGGAATTCTGAAATTACAATGAAGACCATGTAAATGTTTAGCAACTTTTTTTCAAGTGGTAAATTTTAATTTTATCAGAGCCACTTAAAAATTGCCAAAAAGGGTAAGGTTTACATGTAGCTCAGGTTAGTTTATAATCAAGTCAACTCAGAGTTGAATCCAATGTTCAGGAAACAGGGGTGCAATTATCAGTACGGGTAAAAATTACCAATTTGGTGCTTTCATGGAACAATTTTTTATATAAATGTTACATAAACTGTTGACACAGAGATATATCTCACCTGTATGTAGTTTTGACAGTAAAATGCAAATTGTTGAAATTTAAAGAGCAATATTTTAACATGTAACATATGCAAATAAGTTAAACCGCCAGTTTAAGGGGAACCACTTATGATAAATCAATGATATTTGGTATGTAGTTGTATTAGTATTGAAAAATCTTATTTCAAAGGAAATTGTTTGGCCCTGCACCTTCAGTCATGGTTTCCCTTAAACTGACAGTAATCAGACACGGACCTAATCATAAACACAAATTGTTGATGCTGCCGCTGCCTGAAACACAATACCTAAGTCTTGTTCTGTCAAGGCAAGACAAAAATTAATAATTCATATAATTTAACAGTTTGGACTTTCAACAGTTCAGATACACATATATGAAAGCCAAGTTCAGATACACATATATGAAAGCCATGAGCTCTTTTCTATACCAGTCTATAAAAATATGACTGAAAATTGAGACAAAACTAAAAATATGAATAATGACAAAATATGATTGAATTTGATAATAAAATATAACCAAGATATATTCAAAGCATTATTTTAACCTCTTTTTACAGGTATCAGAAGTTGTTCTCGAACCTTATAATGCCACACTGTCTGTTCATCAATTAGTTGAAAATACAGATGAAACCTTTTGTATTGACAATGAAGCTTTGTATGACATTTGTCTCAGAACACTCAAATTGAAAACTCCATCATACAGCGATCTTAATCATCTTGTATCTTATACTATGTCTGGTGTTACAACTTGCTTAAGATTTCCAGGGCAGCTCAATGCAGACCTCAGAAAATTAGCTGTTAACATGGTGCCATTCCCTAGATTACATTTTTTCATGCCAGGTTTTGCACCATTAACTGCTCGTGGATCTCAGTCATATCGTGCCTTATCAGTTGCAGAACTTACACAACAAGTTTTTGATGCGAAAAACATGATGGCAGCTTGTGATCCCAGACATGGTCGATATCTGACAGTTGCAACCATATTCAGAGGCAGTTTATCCATGAAAGATGTTGAAGAACAAATGTTAAACATACAAAATAAGAATAGTCAATATTTTGTTGAATGGATTCCTTGCAATGTGAAAACAGCCGTGTGTGACATCCCTCCAACAGATATGAAAATGTCTGCTACATTCATAGGAAACAGCACAGCTATTCAGGAGTTGTTTAAGAGAGTCTCTGACCAATTCACAGTAATGTTCCGTAGGAAAGCTTTCCTGTTTTGGTATACTGGAGAAGGCATGGATGAACTTGAATTTACTGAAGCAGAGTCCAACATGAATGACTTAATTTCAGAGTATCAGCAGTACCAGGATGCTACTGTAGACGATAATCTTGGTGATGAGGAGTATGAGGAGGAGGAGGAACCAGAGGCTGAGGGAAATCAATAGACATTTGTATTCAAACCAAAGAACTTTGTTTTATCTATCAATAATGTGTCAATTCTCAATTTTTACTGAAACATGTTCATTTGATCAGATAGGGCTATGTGCCCCTTCATTCATGAAGATTAAGACAGTTTAGTAAGGTTTTAATGTACAAGAAAGCTAATTTTTTAATATTATTCAATGAATAAATACTGCTATTCTTATCAAGTAATTACATGTACTGTACATGTGAATTAATTTATATTCTTGGGTACTAATTTTTGTGGACTGACAAAAAATTGTATTTTTGAAGATACTTGATTTTCTTGGCTTTGCAAATGTGTGCATACAAGCCCACAAAAAAATTTGTACTTTGTTGAAAATTCGTGTTTCACCTTTTAACAAGAAAGTCATGAAAATTGGTATCCCATGATAATAATGAACTCATGATCACTGGAGTACAATTCAAAATCCACGATAATAAATGAATCAACAGTAATATGTAACCTTCAAATTACATTGTATATTACAACTTAAGAATATGACTGAAATAAAGTCTTATTTACTCTACTGCGTGCATCTACAAAAATAAGGAACGATTGCACACAAACTTTATATAGACAATATACTTATCCTTGTCTCATGGGTTTTCGTGCTATATAGAATGTATTGTGACGTCATAATTTCCATTGAAAAAAACATGCATAGTACGAATTCATATGACGTACGAAAACATATGATCTGACCATATAGTTGGACATTTTGTAGACAACAGCATATATAAAGATAAACAAGTTCTTGGTTTGAATATCATATTCATTTTAAAGTGTGTATAAAAGGTATGGGGTGTATGTAATTTGTAACCAATCCAACAACACAATACAATAAAAAAAAAGACAGGTTAACACATGGTCTTCAATGATAGGCAAGTGTACATACCATAATATGTCAAACTCTTAACCCCCTTACCATAAAGTTGAAATCAGTAATAATTCCTGAACAGACAAAACTCTAAGATTAATAACTATCACTGATCAGGTTCCTAACTTGGGACAGTAAGCCACATTAAAAACAGGTGGGGTTAGACTATTTTTGTTTGCACAATATATGCATTGTATGTGCACCCCTTCCGCATTGGAATAACAAAGAAATCAAGACGTGTAAAATGCCCAAAACAAACTAACAGAAAAACAAACAAACATTTCGACAATAAAATAGGGAATTCAATTGATATTTATCCAAAAACATATGAAATGCAATGATTGAACAACAACTATATAATCATAACCCTATTTTAATAAGTCTATTTGAGGAGACAAATTTACAATTACTTAATTTGTTAGCTTTATAAACAACACATTGTGTTACCCTAAAAAGCTGGATGCAAAATACCACTTATTATCCAATTCCTGCCTTTGGAAAATCCTGATCCACCCCTAAAGATTAGAGTACACTTGAACTCTGCAGACTGTATGTGCAGTACATGTATATCTGAGGAAGTTCATTATCCAGGTTAAAGAACAGTAAGAATAAAGAGTTTTTGCCTATATCATGTGTTAATAAATGATATAGCTATAAAATTTCATCTTCTCACTGCTTGACTCGACATCTCAAAAAATGATGAGTCCCTGCACTTGCCTTCTAAAATCCTTAGTGAGAACCCTGTATAAGTAGCAGTACTTCTTATTTACTTCTGCAAACTTTTAGATTGCACTTCCAAATAATATTAAAGTTAGAAACTAACTTTAAACTGAAATATCATTTAAAATTTTCAAAGGGAGAAAAATAGGATAATAGACCAATTAAGAGTCCTTTTTTTTGAATGAGTTAGGTGGGTTGTTCCGAGGTCAATCGGTATAAATGACGTCATTGAACAATCGACTTTTACTGCTACATAATAACATGAGCATTGTGACATCAGAAATGTATGGGTAAATGCATGAATGCAAAAGACCTCTAGTTTTTATTTTTATCCCAATTGATCATTTATACGCAGACTGAGCTAGATTTCCGTTCACACCAGGACACTTGGATATTTCTCCTTAAATTATTGGAAAGAGGGGGAGGGTACCTAAATTGTGAAATCAATTCCTCCTACAATTTTCAACCCAGATCATTGAAACTTCACAGATAGATTACACACATCTTAAAGTTGTGCACATGATATCATGGAATTGTTCAATTTGTTGGAGGATTTTTTTCACATTTTTTCCAGACCTGTGAACTTTTTTCAGCATGTTCAGCAAAATTTTCAAAAATGGCACCAATTTCTATGTTATCCCAGATCTTTATATCTTCACAGAAAGTTTGCAAACCTATTGAGATTATGCACCTTCTTTTAAGGAGTTGTAAAAGTTTTTTTCCCATTTAATATTGCCATATACATAGAAAAATAACAGATATGAGTATCCATACATGACACAAAATCAGTACATGCAGAGCAAAAAACACACAAAGAGCAAAGGAACAGCTTATATATTTGAATGTTTGGTATAGACCATTCTCCTTCAGTTTTCAAGCTAGAAATTTTATATTATGCAGGGTGTTAGAACATGCATGTATATATATATATATATATTTACGGAAATGTTTTGCACCAACAAGCACACAAAGGTAAGGTTTTATATATATGCAAAAATGTCTAGCCGTCAATGATGATTTCATAACAATATTGGGTCTCAAAAATCTGCCCAAAATTCTCTCTCAAAGTGCAGACAAAAAAATGGCTCCAGCGTTATGACGTTGTAGGAAGGCGTCACAGAAAAAAATTAAAATAGCCTTTCAAGACATCATAATTATTTTCACTAACCAAACTTTAATTTATTACTGATTCTTTTAGCAAAGGTTCTGCATCTGCTGCAGTATTTTACAATAATCCCAATGGTATCTTTTTCTTTACATTTACTTACCATTTTTGTACGAGTGAACACTTAACAGGTTATCTTCCAGCCAGTAGAAATACTTTAAAATACGCTCAGTATGGAGAAGGTAGTATCAGCCAAATGTAATCGGTAAATTTAGCATGTTATTCATAAAAATAAGAAAATGATCAGGAATTTTTCTTTCCGGAAGTATAGGCTTTTCATATCTCCACGTAAAAGAATTTCCTACATTCTAAAGTTAAACCTAAATCGGTATTATCAGAAAAATCCGGAACAAGATCAGATTTAAAATGGTCCTAGACTTACAGTTAAGTTTCATGCGGAAAGCTTTTACACAAAGGATAAACATGTTTAACGTTTGCTAAATAATATAACAAATGTATAGATTAATTAAATAAAAAGTTATAGTTTACAACCAGTTTCTGGTATCTGTTTTAAAATTACTACGGTCCTAGTTTTATTTGTAGAGAATACGAATACCGGACAGTTTTATTTTGATTCGGTTCACATATAACAGTACAAACATAAGCTCTTCAGAAATGTTTACCGAATAATTATAATATATACATAACATAAAACAAAGAGCATCATTTGCAGATAGGATATATAACTTGAGCAAAATCAGAGTCAATTGTGCTCTTCTCTGATTCAACTTGATGTCATTTTGAAGTTATGCATGTGCATGTGCATGCTGGTATGAAGGCATATCAAAACAAATGAAGAATAAACTTCAAGTGGCACAAATTTAGATTGTGAGATTTATTCTACAATTACATCATAGAAAAAGTGTGACATATATTGAACTTGAAAAATTAGGTTTTTTAAATATTACTAGTAATAGAGTCAAACAACTGAGACTCAATCATGTCTTCAATATTTATATTAACAATATATGCCCAAATTATTTGCGTACTAATTTTGTTAGAAATGAAACATCTTTTAAAACAAGATCTAGTAACATGAATTTTCATTTGTAGTACCTGGAATTAAAGGGTGTGAATCTACCACTTTTTTCTATAATGGAATTTAAGATTGGAACTCGCTACCAGAAATACCAGTAGTTAAAAGTTGCTCAAAGAAATATAATTTTAAAGTACAAGTAACAAAATTTTGATGGATAAATTTGAATCCATCTCTAATAGTGAATTTGTTTTTTATTATTTTTATGAGGCTTTGAGCCTTTATCTGTGATAATTTTAAATGATTTTTGTTATTTATATGTGTCAAGCTTGGTGTGAACTGGTAGTCTCTTCTTAAAACGACCCCACTGGAAATAAGTTTCATTAAGTTTTGTGGGTCATTCTTAGGTATTAGGATACAGTGAAAATCTTTTCCATTTAACAATATTACAGTCTAGTCAAATATTACATTAATGATAATTTCTCGTGATAATTTTATCTTTTAAATTATAATTTGTAGTGCTCATAATTGTCAATCATTTTAGTGTCTGTAACTGTAATATCATATTCATGTCTAGTGCTATATTTGTATGTCATTATGCTTTATTGTGTCTGTCAATTTCATGCCTTTTATCTTGAATAAATATTATTATTATTATTTACTAGTAATGCACTTCTGATGCTGCTTATATACATGTATCTCATCTGCATGCTCTCTGTAGAACAAAGTTGGGGAGAGGGTATAGCGCTTCATTTTGTGAGGCAAAATATTCATTTTCATTCTGTCTTTAATAGGCAAGATTTTTTTTAACAAAAGGTCGTTCTCTTAGAATCTAGAACCTAAAAGTATAAAACTTACATTTCATACACAAGAAAAACAAAGTTTGAAATTTGTTAAAAAAATTAATTGACTTAAACTTAGAAATAGACAATGAGGGTAGGGTGAGAACAAATCTTAACGACAAAAAGATGGCTTTCAGTTTTCCAATTATGAACTTTCAATTTTTATGAAGCAACATTCCAGCAGTGCCTGCCTATGGGGTATATATATATATCTACCAGTTGATACGCTATTACAGATCTTAATTACGTTTGTTATTACTAGTTCTTTGATAGAGGACTACTGCTTACATGGAAGCTATTTAACAAAGGATTCCAAGTGATAAAAATGAAAAAAATGGAAGTTTTACGGAAGTCATATCGAGTTTGTTGACCGCTCTAGAAAATCTGCGTCACAGACGACCACAGATATATTCAGATTGTAGTAACCACAAATCCCGTCCTCTTTCCCTTGATTGTGAGAACACAGAATGAGACTCATTGACGACTTTTGTACTTACCATGAGTAACATGACAGGACCTGCTAACCCGTCCGAAGCCTTTATGATCACCCTTAGTTTTTAGTGCAGTTCGTGTTGCTCAGTCTTTGGTTTTTCTATGTAATGTTTTGTGAGCTTGTTTGTCATTTCGTCGTCTTTCGTTTCTTGTCAGTTTCTCTCGTCTTATGAGTTCTGAAGGTACCCGTGGTACCTTCTGTCTCTTTTATAAGCACAAGAATGCACATTATTATGCATGGATTAATAAAGAGTTAAATTAAAAGTTTATAAGTGACGCAGCACTACTAAAAAGCGTTAGTTTTACGATAGATGTACATGAGTTGCAATTCCATGAATCTATTCAGACTAAGATTTAAAATTTTTAAAATGGTTTGGTAAATCCTTCCATATTGGGCACAGAATATTTGAAGGATTTCAAGCCATACTTTGTTGTTCGAACCGAAAGAATTTCAGCTAAATTTTGATATCTGAAAGAATTCCTACTGAATTTTCCTTATTTACGGTTTTAAATACCAAAATCGACATTGTTCTTATTGTTCGAGTTAATCAAGTTTCGCTGTAAAGCTACAAATCACTTAGGAACGAAATTTTGTTAGTTGAAGCATTATGTCTCGTGAAGAAAGTCCACACTGAAATAAGATGAACGTGACCCTTCGTTTTATGCACGATGGCTTTGATTTATTTTTGCTTTAAGATCCAATTCTCAGAAACTACAAATGATAGTTGAATGGTTTTTTGTCAGTTGATGCACCATGATTAGTGAGAAGGTCCACGCTGAATGAAAGTAACAGTTATATACTAAAGTTCAAAATTCTTATAAATTCATTTTTAATGTACAAATTAAGACCAAAAACAATTAGACACAGAATATGAAACAATCATTAAATGTACAAATCAGACGATTTTTCTGGTATCTAAACATCAAAGACTGTGAAACACGATTGAGAATTGAGACCCTGACATATAATATTGGTAAACTGATTCTTGATAGTGACAATAAATCTTATGTAGTGTTGATTGCATTCTTTCGTCATCTTAACCCAGCTGGAGCAGATTTTGTGTCAGGAGCATACATTTGTTAACGAAGTTTGTAGCACACATTTGTTAACGAAGTTTGTAAAATGTCAACTTGCACGCGCATAGCAAATCAAATGAGATTTGTAAACGGCAAACGACGGGACAGAGGGTATGTTACTGACTGACTTGAAACGAAATTAATTTATATCTGTGATTCCTATTTTTGCAGAAAAGGCAATTTAATATTGAGAAGTTTTAATCGATATTTCACTTAAGCATGGAGAATAACAGTGTTAAGCGTTGAAATTTAAAAAGCTTTTATATTGCTGAAAAATTGCAATGATTGTGATTGAAGATTTTTGATTAAATCTTTAGAATTTTTTACTTCATATCAGCTTGAAACCACTGGTTTACTATACCTCATCACAATATTTTTGAAGGCCATTTTTGAAGACCGTTAACAGAATGTCAGTAAGAATTTAATTTAGAAAAATGATTAGTTGGACATGTAGATGAGGATGCAATATGTATCGTGCTTTATAAGGATTTTTGTAAAGATTAGGCATCCGATATAAAGAAGGAATATTTCCATTGTCCTTTTTATTTTAATACCAAAGGAGAGAATGATTTTCTAAAATCTCCTATTTTGTTAACACTGTAGGTACATTATTTGGATTCTCAGAATTACTGTGAATTTCCAGCTCTTATGTTAGTCAATCCAAATAAATTTTGTTTTCATATAAAATCAATTTTGTTCAAGGCTTTGTCTGCTGGAACAACATATTTGTCTTATATATAGAGATGATATTTCATCCACACCTCAGGCTTCTTCAGAGAGTTAGAATCCCGTATGCTCATTAAACACGGCAGTTTTTGAATGCGCCTCTAAATGCATGACCAAACAGCTTTCATCATGGTAAAAACTGTGCTGTTCAGGTTGATTTGACAAGCGCTTCCTCTATTTTCTTGCATAGTCCTCATCTGCATCCATCAGTTACCTGGATTTTTTAAGTTGATAGGCTGGTGAATAGGTGTCTTCCCGATTGTCCCACTTTTTGAAATTACAGGTAAAAAAGTAATGAAATTTTGTGGGACAATCGGGAATATGTTTGTGGGACAATTGGGAAGTTTAAATGTGGGACAATTGGGAATTGTTTTGATAGTGATTAATTTGTTTTTATAGTGTGTTGCAGTTAATTAAAGGTCACTAAACAATGTAACTTATAAAATATGAAAAAAACATGAACAAATAATAATATTTACATATTTCATTATGCACATAGTAGGTACAATTATAGTATCATCAAACACGGAATATAATATGAAGTCATAAAATTTTAGTCTTAGATGCATATTTTTTTTAATTAGTTTTTATTGGCTTTGAACTAGCTGTCAGTAACTGCGAATACTCTCAGACCTGTTACAGTACTCAGTGTTTTTGTTGTGGTGATGCATAAGTAGCCGTCCACGTTCACTCTGTGTTTTTGTTAGATGTATTTCTGTTTGTACCCATCTGATGAGAAAAGCCTTTTTCAACTGATTTTTATAGTTTATTCTTATGTTGTTCTGTTTCAACACTGTTCCAGGTTATTGGGAGGGTTGGCGCCTTCAAATAAGTTTAACCCCACAAAATTCTGTATGTGCCTGTCCCAAGTCAGGAGCCTGGTATTCAGTGGTTGCCGTTTGTTGCTGTGTAACATATTTATTTTTCGTTCATTATTTTGTACATAAATTATGCCATTAGTTTTCTCGTTTGAATTGTTTTACATTTGCCATTTTGGGGTCTTTTATAGCTATGCGGTATGAGCTTTGCTAATTGTTGAAGGCCGTATGGTGACCTATAGTTGTTAATTTCTGTGTCATTTGGTCTCTTTGGGAGAGTTGTCTCATTGGCAATCATACCACATCTTCTCATTTTTTATGGAAGTCTGTTTCTACTTTATA